TGTGCCGGTTGGAACAGGCCACAGCATCTCTCCCCTCTTCTATCACCACATCAGTTCCCGGCAGTAAGCTTCGCCCCAGACCAGTAAAATGTCTTGTAGGCTTTTGTTTTACAGCAGACATTGCTCCCACCCATGTCCACCTCATTCCTCCTTATCACCACTTAGGAATCACAGAGTGGTTTGGGTTGGAAGGGACCTTAATGCCCCCCCAGTGCCACCCCCTGCCCTGGGCAGGGACACCTCCCACCACACCAGGTTGCTCCAAGCCCCCTCCAACCTGCCCTTGAACCCCTCCAGGGATGGGGCAGCCACAGCTTCTCTGGCCAACCTGGGCCAGGCTCTCACCACCCTCCCACCAAACAAGTTCTTCCCCACAGCTCAGCTCCATCTCCCCTCTTGCAGGGTCCAACCCTTCCCCCTCCTCCTAGGGCTCCCCTCCCTCATCCAGAGTCCCTCCCCAGCTTTCCTGGAGGGAAAGCTCCCTTCTTGAGGGACTGGAAGGGGCTGGAAGGTCTCCCCGGAGCCTTCTCTTCTCCAGGCTGAACCCCCCCAACTCTCTCAGCCCCCCCTCCCAGCAGAGGGGCTCCAGCCCTCCCAGCATCTCTGGGGCCTCCTCTGGCCCCATCCAACAGCTCCATGTCCTTCTTGTGCTGAGGACTCCAGAACTCCAGGTGGGGTCTCATGAGAGCAGAGCACAGCAGAGTAGAATCATCTCCCTCAAAGAAAGCAAGCCTCCTTGGAAGCAGAACAGAGATTTTCTGAAGGAATTGCACTATTTCAGGATTCTCATCCTGAATGGTTTAAATCATTCCTGAAAGTGAGAGGATAAGTGATGTGGTGATTGTATTCAGTTGTTTGCATTTCGTTGATTGAAACAGAATGTCTGCGGCTGATTTCAGGGTAAGGAAAGGATCGGGAGCAAGTTCTGGTACCCAAAGGCGAGTGAGCATCCTGAGTGTTGTCTCTGCAAGCAGATCAGCGAGTTGCAGAAGCCGATCCAGCATTTCTGATGGCAGAACCGTGGACAGGGTGTCCCACCTGGGCAACAAGTACGCCATACGGGTGAGAAGCCATTCACACTAGTCCTGAAAAGCTCTAAATGTGAGTTATTGCAGATGTTAAAAATTGTCGGAAAAGACGCGGGAGAGGGAGGACCAAAGAACTGTCTGAAGGTGAAGAGCTGTGGTCAAAGAAAGTGATCCAAGAGCTTCATCCATTCTGAAATGAGAGTGATTTCTGTCCAAAAACAATCTACAAGAATAAAAAAACCCTAGATTTACAGTTCTCCTCCAAATTTGAGAACTATTTGCTGCCAAAGCTGTGAGATACGTTGACTGTAGCACCTGTGTGTCTTTAACTAAAGAGTAGAAGATTCCTGAAACGAGTCCTTCAAAGACCTTACTGAATACCTTCTTACAATAAAATATTTTATAATCTGAGTCGTTCAAAGACCCTACTGAATACCTTCTTACAATAAAATATTTTGAGCAGTGTAATAAAAACAATGAATAATTATTTATCTCGTTGCTTTTGCTGTACTGTTAATTTGACAGGAATAGCTGCAGTCAATAAGCCCCTCTTGGCAGTCATTACAGAATAAATAAGCCAGAAAAGACAACAGGGTTGACCAAGGAGAAGTGATAGTGAGACAAATGTAGTTTTTTCCAGGTATTTTGCAGCCATTTCTAAACAGAGAGCTCCAAAGAAGTCCCAGGCAAAGATGACAGCCTTCTCAAGGCTGAACCCTGGAAGGGGAATCAGGAATTCAACCTCCCCCAGCCCCTCTCCTGCTGTATCTTGGGCATCAGCAGCAGAGAGGGGTTACCTACCTGTTCTCTCGGGTTCCTGCCTGGCTCAGGGTCTTCTTTTTCTTCCAGATGAGACAAGTGTCATCGAGAAGTGATAGTGAGACAAATGTAGTTTTTTCCAGGTATTTTGCAGCCATTTCTAAACAGAGAGCTCCAAAGAAGTCCCAGGCAAAGATGACAGCCTTCTCAAGGCTGAACCCTGGAAGGGGAATCAGGAATTCAACCTCCCCCAGCCCCTCTCCTGCTGTATCTTGGGCATCAGCAGCAGAGAGGGGTTACCTACCTGTTCTCTCGGGTTCCTGCCTGGCTCAGGGTCTTCTTTTTCTTCCAGATGAGACAAGTGTCAAAGTGTCATCACTGTCGCTTGTTTTGGGAATGCAGTGAAACTATTTTAGGAAAAATTTTTTCACTGAAAGGGTCACTGTTGCTTGTTTTGGGAACGCAGTGAAACTATTTTAGGAAAAAATTTTTCACTGAAAGGGTTCTCAGCCATTGGAATGGGCTGCCCAGGGAGGTGGTTGAGGCACCATCCCTGGAGGTGTTCAAAAGACGGGTTGCTGTAGTGCTGGGAGGTCTGGTTTAGTGATAGGTATGGGTTAGTGATGGTGTTGCTTTTTTTTGTTGTGCGGGTGTCTATTTTTGTCAAAGTGAGGTTGACGGTTGGACAAGATGATCTTTAAGGTCCCTTCCAACCTAGAAGATTCTGTGATTCTGTGATTCTACTCTCACTATTGAAATATTCCTTCAGGTGTTTGATGACAAAGGAAAGGATGTGACGCCCCGTCCGCTCTTCCGCCCAGACCCAAGCGCTGCTGTACCCAGGCAGGGCAAGCCCTCAGCCTCCAGCGCACACTTGGGGGCCACAGGAGCAGGGTTTCACCCCTTTTTCACACACCGGCCATGGGGAGAGAACACCAGTTTAGATGCCTCCTCAAGGTAAGTCAATGTGCTGACTCTTAAACCCCGTCTCACAGGGTTCCTACCCTGCAGCGGCCACGCATCCGAGCTGGACTAATTGTGCAGGGCTAATAATTATACTCTGGTGTCAGCATACAGGAACCTCTACACAGATATGTGACACAACACTGTCCTAAAGGCAGAGGAGGTTGTGTTCTGGGTGTCTGAGCAAGGCTGTACAGCCCAGAACTGGCATTTGCAGCTCATTAATACACTCCCTTTTTCTACCTCAGATGCTTTCTGCCTTCCCCAAGCTTAGTTGTTTTTCAAAAACTGGAAGATATCGATATCCGCTGAGCTGTGGGTATGGAAAAATGCTTTGGAAACAAAAGGCCTGGTTTCAGTGAAGAGTTACAAATTTATTTTAAAGTATTTTGTCTGTTTCAGTGATGCTTACCAAGTACAGACAACCCCTTTTACAAACTCAAATCTTTCAGTTGAAGTATCAAAATATTATTAATATAATATCAATCCTCTCTTTTAAACTAATCTAAGCAAGTTACCTCTGTGTGATTATGCGCATCCACTTCAAACAATGTTCTCATACAGAAACTTTTGAGTTAAAACTGCTAAATTACGCGTTTCACTACTTACCAGCTTTCATTTACAACCCTTGGGTACACAGGGAATAAACAAAGTCAATGGACTCGAGCTGTTCTAGCTTCGGGCTGACAAATTCAATTAAGTCATGCAAAAGAAGGTAAATAAGTATTTGTGTTTAAAATGAAAAATAATGAACTGCATCACTTTATCAAATGGTGTGTGCGCATTCAAATGGAGTGGAGAGGAGATGCTATTTATTTAGTCAAAGGCACTAAAAGATTAGTGAAGTCAGCATTGGAAAAAAAATAACAAGTTAAAGAAAAACATTACTTATTTCTGGGAAGGGGTTTCTCTTTGAGAACTATATTTTTGTCATGTTTCCTAGGCTGGCTATTTTAAAGGATAAGCCCAGAGGGAGGAATATTAACCAGGAGCAAATACACAAACACACACACAAAAAAAGACTTAAAAATAGAAAATATCTCCTGAAAATTAAATGTATCCTTTTTGGAGACAAGAGCTCTTAATTTAAAAGACAAAATGAAATTATTTAAAGTTAGTTTTAAATAAAAATGTTTAAAATTGTCCTTTTCAGATGCCTTAGGTGTATTTATTATTGCTCACACTTCGCTTTTGAGGAAGAGAAAATCTGCTGACAAACCTCCCGACTGTATCTAAGTTTTGAGTTTTGCTTCTAGTTATGACAGCTATCCCCTCTACAAACATTTTTTAGCTCTTTTTTAATGAGCTAATCCCTTCAAATGAAAAATTGCAGGGATAAACCTCCCAACTGTATCTAAGTTCTGAGTTTTGCTTCTAGTTATGACAGCTATCCCCTCTACAAACATTTTTTAGCTCTTTTTTAATGAGCTAATCCCTTCAAATGAGTTTCTTGTGCATTTCAAAGATGTTTGAGCACATGCAAAACACTAAAGGATCTAAGTTCTGTCTGAGAACAGCTCTATCTGTGGGCAGGCGTTATCACACAGCAGGTAGCCAACACTCTGCCTTATTATATGCTAAGAATGAATCCAAGAGCTTAATAGCTGCTTTTCTTTCAGCTGTTTAATGCCTTGAGAGATGCTGTCAGAGGAATTCTTCCTTTTTAAATTTTTTTCAAACCATTTCATTATTTTCTTTCCTAAACCTTTATGACTTCTTTTGCAACGGAGGCATCACCATGCGTGTTCTTGCAGCCTTCTGGGGTTTATCTTGGTAACAACACTGCTATTTTTGTAGCACTTTGCTAACTCCCCTCTGGACCCTCACACACTATTTCTGCTTATTTCTTCGTCACCGAAGGGCATATGAAAGCAGCTGCACTTCTATATCAAACACATCAACAACGGAGTCCGGACCAGATGAAACAGCAGAACCTGGCTCTCAACAAGACACAACTGTTACCTCGTCTGGTAAAGAACATACACTGGATAATTATAGAATTAAACTGTTCTTCAGAGCACTGTGATTTGTGAGACGCTGAGTCAGTGGATGTGAGCTGCTCAGCACTTCAAAGGAACTCAGTGCTTCCCAAGTTTTGGCTCCTGATTGTTACAATACTTTTAGAATTAATTTGTCTTCTTTTAAATGTAGAGCAGAAAAGGTCTTGCTTGTTAACATCCTGTGATTTTACAGATGTGCAGGCAAAACCAGAGGAGATAAAAGAAGAACTGACAAAAGAAGACTTAGACAGGAGCGTGGATCTTTACCTGACTGAGACGGAAACGATCTGGATGTTGGACGTGCCATCTGTGGTGGCGTCTGTAGAATCAGAAGAGGCTGGAAGAATTGTGTATGTATGTCAGGAGTCGTGTACACGCGTGTAGTGGGCTCAGCACACCCAGCTTCTCCTCATCACACAGCCCTGAACAGGCTCCTCACCCATGGTTCAATTCAATTGCCATTTCACCTTTGTTTAAAGCCACATTGGGCTTGGGTCTCTCTTTTGAGAGCCTAAATTCATAGAATCATAGAATCACAGGATGTCTTGAGTTGGAAGGGACCTTAAAGATCATTGAGTTCCCACCCCCTGCCCTGGGCAGGGACACCTCCCACCACACCAGGTTGCTCCAAGCCCCCTCCAACCTGCCCTTGAACCCCTCCAGGGATGGGGCAGCCACAGCTTCTCTGGGCAACCTGGGCCAGGCTCTCACCACCCTCCCACCAAACAAGTTCTTCCCCACAGCTCAGCTCCATCTCCCCTCTTTCAGCAAATTCCTTGCAGCTCCATCTTGTTGATCAAATTCCTACCTTCCTTCACTCATAAATCAAGGCAGATTAGCAAAATCAGGGGATGGTGACAAGAGAACATGCAGGAGCTGGGGAAAGAGAAGCTGCAGTGTGGTGTACATAAATTACACCATTTAATTTAATGAAAACAGTAAGAAATTGTAAACCCCTGTGTTGATTCTTGTGCGTAACTTTACAGCTAATGATTTCTTAATAACAAAGATATAAATAAACTAGACAGGCCTTGGCTTCCTCGGAAGCTCTTCTCAGTGCTTCCAGCTAGAAGAAACCTCACCCCACCGTGCACGACCGTGGCTGCTAAAATATTGTGTCTCCTCTTCGTTGCATCACATAGAATCATAGAATTGTCCAGGTTGGATTAAAATATTGTGTCTCCCCTTCGTTGCATCACGTTGAATCATAGAATTGTCTGGGTTGGAAGGGACCTTTCAGATCATCTAGTCCAACCATCAACCTAACTCTGATAAAACCCATCACTGACCCATGTCCCTCAGCACTATGGCAACCTGGCTTTTAAATACCTCCAGGGATGGTGCCTCGACCACTGCCCTGGGCAGCCCATTCCAAGGCTTAATAACCCTTTCCATGTAAAAATTGTTCCTAATCTCCAATCTGAACCTTCCCTGGAACAACTTGAGGCCATTTCCTTTTGTCCCATGGCCTGTTCCTTGGGAGAAGAGACCGACCCTCCCTGGCTACCCCCTCCTTTCAGGGAGTTGGAGAGAGCCAGAAGGTCTCCCCTCAGCCTCCTTTTCTCACATGTTTCCACTTCAGACCCCCCTCCCTGGACTACCATGAGCTTTGGTAGGGAGTTAACCCAGAACACACAGGTTTTTTGGCTTATTCCCAGGAGCTGACTGGGACAGAGCCCGGCAAAGATCTCTCCACGATGGGTGTCAGACTCATCACACAGCTTTTGTAAGCCCCAAAGCCGGGGCTGCAGCCTACTGCAGTTGGCAAGTCAAACAACTTAGATCAGTGAGGTTTTTTTTCTGCCTGTGTAGCCACAAAGCTCACGGTGGGACTCCAACCCCCACTGTCTGTGAATCACACTGGTGTGATTTTGGGGAAGAAGGAAGAGGAAGAGCATCCTATGAATCAGATGGAGAGGGTGTACGCAGCACGTATTCCCAACTGCAGAGGAACAGCAACCTGCTGGTGGGCTAGGACTGGGTATCATCCCTGTCTGCTGTTACAGTATCCAAATCAAAATAATAGAAAAAGTTTCACAATTCCCACTGACCATTCCCGAGGGCTGGAGGAAACAGAAATGCGTTTTGTTTTTCTCTCTTGGATGCACTGCCTTTCGCTCCCAAGTGATGAGAAATACCTATTTCTGAACTCCAGAGGTAGTTGGAGTAGGGATTTTTGCTGATGCCTACCTCTACAGGCCATTTCTGGTTTAGAACAGCATCAGGTGGTCAGAAATTGCTGCTGAAAGACATTACAGAGAGTGAAATAAAATCCAGCAATCCAAAAAAACCCCAAGCAGTACATTTATGACATGGAGTATCCTCTCCCGCTCAACTCGTGGTTAAATACACCCAGAATTCAAATGCAAATGTTTTTCAGAAAGTCAATATACACTTCTTTTTCTCTTATCGAGGGAGAGGAATAAGATTTATGCTGACATTTGCAAAAACAGACCTGGCAATGATCGCTTTGTGGAAAAAATGATGCAAACCATCAACGGAGCCACAAAGACCAAGGAAGTGCAATGTGACCAAATCATCATGGAAGAGAAAGGTAAACTCCCCCAGTTCCACACAGGAAAGGGTATTTAATAAGAATGGGCTCTTGTTTACTACGTTGTACCCTTGGGTTTATTATTACATTTAATTTACTTATTAAATATTTATTTGGGAAAACTCTAGCATACAGCTAGCTCATGGGACCTCAGAAGACTCCCCACACACAGGTTGGATACCAAAGAAAGGGGTTTTCCTTTCATCTCTAAGCAGGAGATGATGTTTCCTCAGCTTTCACTTCCAAAGCTTTAAGTTCACAGAGGCTCCTGTGATTTGTGGTGGCCTTTTCTGTCCCCAGTGTTCCACACCTGAACATCAGTACCAGTAAAAGAGTCATGAATCCCCTGAGAGCTGCCGTGTCCTGCCTGTCCCACCACTTTGCAAGCAGAGGGGGCCTCTGAGGAGGCAGAACTTCACTCAATACTCAACTGTTCTCTTGAAATACAAAAGCACACTTCCCTTTTCTCCCCCCCTAAACTTTTCGGTGACGCTGGTTTCTATTTCTATTTGCCATAACGCAAAGAAGAGAACCTCTGTTATGAGATCTAAAATCTTGGGGAAAGCAGAAAATCTTGGCATTCTCACAAGATAGATGCAATTTTACAAAATGTTCAACCTGAAAAAAAAAATATGTAGAGGAATATTTAGGTTTTAGACATGCTGAGCTTTGGACATTTCTTTTGTGTAGGAGGCCAAAGAAAACTACGGGGAAAGCTGTTCCAAACATTTCTGCTTTGTGTTCATTAACGTATGTAAAATGAGTGAAAAAAAAATATATCAAAAGGAGAAGTAAAATAGATATTAATCTGTTTTGAAAACATACCTTCCCCTTTTTTTGTGTGCCTTGCTACAGCCTTGTCCAACCCTCCCTCAACTCCAAAGGCCCCTCTGCCAAAGAGCTGGGCTGTAGTATAGAAAGAAAATCTTTGCTCAGCTGCACGTAGTGCTTTATAATAATGTACTGAAACCACAGACCTGTGTAACACAGTGGAATTCATTTCTAGGGGTGATGGCCACCTCCTGGGACTTGTACGATTCATTTAACGTTTTGGAAATAAAACCTACATCCAAAGCAGAAGGTACCAGAGCCACAGCCTGGAAAAGCAGCAAACCTCCTACAACCAAAGAGCACCATCAGACCCCGTCTGTCTCCTCCGACTCAGGTAACGGATTTCCATGTTTACCTTTCTGCCACGTTTTCATCCTTCTAACCCGTGCACATCACTGTGTTGCATGGTGAAAATGAAGAAAGTGCTTGGCCTGTCTAGCTGGCACTTCTAATTTTGCTAAAGAATCTTGGAGAGCTCTGCACTGAGAAATGCTGTCATAGAATCATAGAATGGTTTGGGTTGGAAGGGACCTCAAAGATCATCGAGTTCCAACCCCCCTGCCCTGGGCAGGGACACCTCCCACCAGACCAGGTTACTCAAGACCCCATCCAGCCTGGCCTTGAACCCCTCCAGGGATGGGGCAGCCACAACTTCCCTGGGCAACCTGTTAAAAATAAATGGTATCAGATAAATAGTGAGTGACAAAGCCTGCTGGTACTAACTTACTTCAGACAGTAGGAGGAAAACACCAATTGTGAAAAACTCCAGAAGTATCTCATCATCAATAAAAGAAAATAAAATTAAAGCAAGAAAAAATTCATAGTGGGAGTAATTTTTGCTGAGGATAGATTCTTCTATACTTTTTGCAGGAGGAAGAGACTTCTTTAACTCTTCTATGCAAAGTATTATCATGTTAAAACAGTTTTTTTCCCCCCATCTTATCTGTTGTCAGACAGCACAACTTCTCGTACAGTGGTTTTGGAAAATTCTATCCAGGAAGAGGAGGAATGCTCTTCAGGAGCTATATTAACATCGGAAAACTTTCAGCGGGATTTATTTTTCATGGAGAGGGTTCTCGTGGAGAACATTTTTCAACCCAAACTCGCAACTTATCGGCAGCTTCCTGTCCTCAGAGGTTTGTTTGTTATTGATACCCTGTTTCCAGCACAAGCCTTTGCTTGATATTGGAAGTCATGGAGTTATGCCCCTCACTGAATGTCTTTAGACACAACACGTTCTTTAAGAAATGGACAAAAGGGAGTTTATGAGACATCAACATGAACTTTGCATACTTTAACCGACATCCCTACCACATTTAGTGGAAGAATTGAATGGAAGAGTTCTGAGCTGGCCCACCTCTCCTTCAGAGGAAATTGAAATTTACTCCAAATAGGAGTCAAAATTCTTTCCCAACCACTAAGATACAGATTCATTCAAAAAAACCTTTTTTTTTTGCATTGGAATGCCTTTCTACAATTTTATTTATTTTTATAAGGAGACTGATAGCAAACAGAAGTTTTAGCCTGATAGATGTTCAGTGTCTAACATAAATACATTCACTGCAGACCATAAGAGCCATTATCTGGACCCAAGTGCTAAGTAATATTTTACCTTTTAAAGGAGTTGCAAATTGGCCAGGAGGGCTTCTGCTCTGACAATCTGGCAATTAGAGCGTTCTTATTTTGTTAACAGTGATCTGAGACCAATTTATGAGTTGCACATTACATAAAATAGAGGGGTGAGTAAACAAACAAAAAAAATGCTTAACAAGCACAGCCTAAAAACAATCTCCACACTTAATTTTCCCAGACAACGAACAACTTATTACAGCATCACATAACTTAGCTACGGTGTTCCAGCATCAATGCTTAAGTGTGGCACTTCAAAATTTGGCACCTAACTTGAAAAAAATCCCTGTTTAAACAGAATTTTAAATATGAGAGATTAGAAATGTTCCTGGCAGGGGGTGGATACAAATTCTTAACTTGTTGCTGAGGAGCTAAATCCACGCGTTAAACACCTGGAGTTTAACTGGCTACAGAGTGTAGCCAGTACCACAGCCATTTTTTATGTCCCTATCAACCTTTTAGCCACAGTTTTAAACTTAGGGTGTCTTAATTCCTCAAATCATCTTTTTTTCTTTTTTTTTTGCTGCAAGGGCAAGTTTTTCTTTTGATGTGAATGCCTGGAGTTACCCAAGTGAAATGTTATTCGACTTTACCATATTTGTGCATTTTAGACCCCGAGGTTACATCAGACAGAGGTACAGCAGCAGCCGTGAAAGAAGCTAAACAGAAAGAGCAGGGCAAGGAAAAGAAGGACAAGGAAGAGCAGAAGGAAGGATTCATTAACTCATCAATTCTGTCAGATGTAAATAAAGGCCTAGAAGAAGTTGTACAGCCCAGATTGGAACGGCTGTGGTCGTATATTTGTGATTTAACGAGCGGTCACAGTGTGAGCAGTATGGCCTGGAGCAAAGTAAACCCCGTGAGTAAAAAAATCACTGCTTCTAAACTGCTTGAAAAAATGGTATAAGCAATTGTTAGTGTAGAAAAACTCCTGATTTTGATGCACTTTGTCAGGAAGGATCTCAGAGAGCTGGATCCGTCCCTACAGTCAGGTGGGTTGTCTTTGCATCCCACTCTCTGCATTTTGTCCTTCCACATAACAGTATTGGTACATTATTCCACAGCTGTGCTAGGCTTTTCCTACAGATGGGTCACAACAGCTTTAATTGGTCCAGAATACATCAATTTACCATTAACTGAACATCAATATTAAGATAATAGACTTGGTCTGCGACAGAATTAGAAGCTGAACTTAAAACTCCTAGTACTAAGCTTTATCACCATTGATGGAAGTTATTAATGGCAGTTAAGATACCATTTACATAGTTTCTAACAGTCATCTCCCAAGAAAGTGGCATTCATCAAACTTTAAGGATAAGATACACAACAACAGGCACAGATTTGGAGCATCTGGCCCAAGCTTATTTAATTCAGTTTCAGGGGAGGTGAGAACGACTCAGACATCTCCACTTTCAGAGTAATATGAAGCTCAGTTTTTCCAATACAGCTCTCTTTTTGGCCACACAAAAATAATGAATGGAAGGAAGGTAAAAAGCAGGTGAGGATGAGAAACAAAACCAGTAAGATGGCCCCAAGGGAAAAAATAAAGACCATTTCATTTAGTACATCCCCAGATATTCTAAATTTGGATACATGTATAGATTTCGGTTGTAGAATTACAGGGCAAACAAACACCTATTTTTAAAGTTTCACAGACAAGTTGTTTTGTACAGGAAGAAAAAATTAATGAAGTTGAAGACTAAAATTTTTCTACTATTTCTCCCTTCTGCTTGTGGAAAGGAATGAATGGGATTCATTGGACCCCACCATAGAGAGCTAAAAGCAAGGAGATTGAGGGGGTAGAAGTATTATTACATATTCCATTCAATGCTGCACATTTAAATATGGTTATAAAAGAATGTACATTCATCTCTGGAAAGGGCCATATTTTTATGATGGCCAGGGCAGGGAGACTGTAAACCCAACTGACAGTGACCATGAGTGCACTTCTCCTTGAACCAGTATTCTAAAAATCCTGAAATTCTGTTCTTCTTGTGTGTTATTCTACTTGCACATGACACCAGCATTCTTTTTCCAGACTTTGCACTGAGAGTCACTGTTAACAGAAAGTTGACTTTTAGAGGGACACAACTGAACTTCCAAGTTAAACTGAGATCTCTCTTAATCTGTGCTTTTAGGATCTTTTAGCTGTTGGTTACGGAACATTTGATTTTAAAGAACAGAAGAAAGGCCTGGCTTGCTGCTGGTCATTGAAGAACCCCATGGTAACAAACAGCCAGTTTGGTTTCTTCTTTTTTTTTTTTTTTTTTTAACTCTCCTTCAATACATTTTTCTGCTTTATTTATTCCCTTCTTCCTGTTTCAAAACACAGGAGCTAGCCAGTAAGGCTGAATTTGCTAGCCCAAACCATGCATTTCTGGAAAATTGTTTCTGACTGCAGTAAAGGTTACAGCCAAGGCTGTAAATCTGTTTTGTTATTACCATGGATAGACCCAGTTGCATAGGAATCACTTTTTAGACTGGAAAAGTCTCAAGCACAGCAAATATGAAAATAAATCAATTTACCTTTTGTTTTCCAAAAATCTATAGACAAGCTCTAGGCAATCCTGCTTTAGCAGGGGAGTTGGACTAGATGATCTCTATGGTCCCTTCCAACTCTAAAAATTCGGTGAAATTCAGTGAAATTCAGTGAAATTTGTTCAATAATTCCACACTCTCATTACAGAGAACATCAGCATTTTAAATTTAAAGATTATCCTTTCCAACCCATTTTCTGTTGTACCATTAAATTCTGTTAGGCTGAAGATCACAAATAAAAACTATATTATTAAATATAATTATCTAATCTAACATCTCATAATGCTGTCAAAAAGACAGTAGGTTTCATAGATGTAACATTTCCATCTTTACAAATCCATCTGAAAAGTGACCCTTTTTACACTGGCCATTTTTAAAATATCTTGGAAATCTCTGTTACAAAGCGACGCAGTAAAAATCACCTGCTTGCTGTCAAATTACACAACTTCACTTTTATCTGTTCTGCAAACTTCCCTTGCCCAAAATTGTGTATTAGACTAATTCAAATTGTGCAGAGTCAAGTCTCTGACACGTATTTATCACGTCAACAACAAGCAAATACTCCTGTGATTTCCTGATGTCACCACAGTCCTCCAGTCCCTAACAATAAGAAATAAGGTCTGGCCATGCCCACCGAAGTACAATTCTTTGCAAACTAACTCTGCTCTTTCCCGTTTCAAGAGCTCGGTGCAATGATTTTAAGGATTTAATCTTAGAAAAGAGCTGAATCAGTTCTTTGGTTGCATAGAGAAATGACATGAAAACAGATTACCTGAAGTACATCAGATTGCATTTTATGGTCAGCTAAATTTCTGTAATTGGATATAAATGGAAATACACTTACCTTCACACTACAAGATAGAAAACATCTTTCTGGAGAAATTCTCCAAAATGCCCAGTTTGTTTGAAAAAAAACCAAAACACAAAACCCCACAAATCAAGCAAACAAAACCCTCCCACTGTACTCACAAAGCTGAATCTTAGGGGACTTGATTTTATAGGTGTTTGGTTTGGAGTAGGCCCATCTAACTTATTTTACAGTGTCATATTTCTGCATAGCCTTTATTTTTTCCTAATTTTACCAGTTGTAGCAAGAAATTAACTGAACTATTTAGAAGATAGTACCTAATTTCTGTCTAGAAGTGGTCACTATGGTCACCAGCACTTGAATTTTCCAGCAGAGCCTGGTAATTCCATATCCAGGTGTTGGGAAGAAGGAGGTAAATCAAGAAACTAACTTCAAATAATTCTCTATTTTTCTACTGGTCAGTGGCCAGAGCGTATTTTCCAGTGTGAGCACGGTGTTACTGCTTTGGATTTCTCTCTGGCGAGCCCCAATCTTTTAGCAGTTGGGATGTACAATGGTTCTGTTGCCATCTACGACGTGCGGAGTCGTAAGGATGCTGTGCTTTTGGAAAGCAGGTGAGGCCATGACTTCCCACCTCCTCCCACCTCGCTCACCTCTCAGCAAATAACAAATAAAAGAACATCCACAACCGAGAAGCTGAGGGAATAGCAAGAGTCTTGATAAGTGATTGCTTGGGGATGTTGCACAATTTTCTCATTTCCAACTTTGGTCAGTATCCTCCAGTTCTGACTGGACTCGATACCCTCAAATACGAGATGTTTCCGAAGCAAAATTGCAGACACCAAAATTTACAGTAATGTATAAATGCCCTCAGACACTGCCATCATCCTCTACTCTTATTTCTGCTGATAAATGCTTACATTGCTTTAACACCTCTGGCCCTTTCTTAGGGTAAGAAACATCTCTGCAATGTTGCTGTGCCTAGAAAGTGAGCTCCTCACATTGGAAAGGTGAAAAAATGAGTTCTGTGCTCTGACTTTTTAAGAAAATGCAGCAAATTGCCACCATGTACCACTTTATACACCATGTACTAACTAATTAGGAGAATCCTGTCCCATATAATAAATCCTTATGGGAGACTACTGGTAGCTTTTGGTGTTTTCTCACTGATTCTACTTACCCAAAAAACGGAAAGAACATCAGAACAGGTGAGGGATAAACAGAATTTAGAAGAAAATGAGAGGGGTGCATGATCAGGGAGATACTTGTCCTAAAGGGCAGCTCCCCAGGTCTAGGGCACTCTCCTCTAAGGTGTAGATTGATTTCATGATTCAGGTATCAATGAAAGGTGTGTCAGCACATAAACAGTGTCCTGAAACTAAATATCCAAAATTGTTTGATAAAAAACATTTTCCTGGAGAAAACAGACAATGTTCAGATTTCTTTTTTTTTTTTTAAAGAAAAGCTAAATTTCTGTCATATGAGCTGACGTTCATTACAAATTGAAAGGTTAATTATTTTTTCAAATATATTGTCTTGTCTTTTGTTCATATGTGATTTATCCTGTGCATCTTTTGTCCCAGTGAATCCACAAATAAACACACGGGTCCTGTGTGGCAACTGAGGTGGGTGGAACAGGACAGAGGTGCAGCAGGAGAGGGCAAAGCAGAGAGATTAATCTGTATCTCAGCAGATGGCCGAATAACCTCGTGGTTTATACAGAAAAGACTAGATTGCACTGGTAAGCACTTTCCCCTGCAGCTTTTCCAAAATTTGCAGTTGCTTCATTTTCTTTCAGGTGACATTTTTTACACCAGTCACCATACACAAAACATTTAAGAGCTGTTGAGCGTTTCAAAGAAGCACAAGTTATTCATAGTACAGTCACAAACCTGCCTGGCAAACACTCTTGCTATTTGTACAGATCTTTTGAAAATAAAGCGAACAGAAAAAGAGGAGAAGAAATTACTGGGTGAGAAAGAAAGGAAAAGTGAAGCTCTGATATCTCAACTGGCAGCTGGAATGTGCTTCGACTTCCATCCAGAGGTAGGCTCAGGAAGTCCATCCTGGCTAAAGGATTATCCAGGAGAACTGTGCAGGGGAGAGATCCTCAGCTGGAGCTACTTCAGTAGGCGTTAACCTGGGGCTTGGCACTGGCATTTAAAGCATATTTAGTTCTGAAACAAATCAATTCTTATCTAGTAACAGTTTTACCCAAAATGGATGATACGGGAAACCAAGCAATGATCCCCGCATGTGAACAGCTCTCCCTCAGCCCTGTTACTCACACCAGCTTTGGGCCAGATCCTAGGGCAGCTTCCTTCTATGAACTGGTTAGACTGGTGACAACTTGACCCGTCAGCCTCTCCCAAATCTAGGACTTTGATGGCTCTGCTTCTCCTCCTCATCCAGCTGAGTATTTTGTGCTCAGAATTCACGCGTTTGCCCACATGGATTACAGAAAGTCTGAGATTTTCAGAAGTCAAAAATTACAGCATTTACCTTAGAGTTTACCGTTCTTTCAGGACACTAATTTGTATCTTGCTGGAACAGAAGAGGGTCATATCCACAAGTGTTCTTGTTCATCCAGTGAGCAGTTTCTAAAGACATACAGAGGCCATAAGGTGAGTGAGACGTAGAAAAAGTACCGACAGCAGAAACTGTTCAAATTCACAAATGCAATAGTTTCTTCACTTATATTTACTAAATAAAACATCTGGAACAAAAGAAACCTGAATTTTTCTTGCATTAGGAACGAATTCCCACAGTTAAAGCATCACAGTCTTACAGGATTACTTTCTAAACTATAAGGATTACTTTTTTTTAAAGTAATTTAGGAAAACTTGTACCATAAACTGTTTCAAAGCTTTAGCTCCGGCTCTATTTTAAGAAAATAATGGGTAATTTGATTGTCCTGCAAACCACAGTTAAACGGTCTTACCTCTGAGAGAAAGATGCCAGAACTTTAACTCTGCTTTCTGAAGTCTCTGCTTCATTCAAGCAGCTGCCCTTTCAGCATCAGCTTCTCCTGACAACTGCTTGAAGGGGCAGAAGCAGCTGAATGCTTTTTATTCTAAATTCTCTCCTGCCTTATCATCCTAATTTCCTAAATTCACTCCTGCTTCATCTGAATTCCCTGTGGGTATACACAATACTGGGTTTGTTCTTAAGGTCAGAGGACAGGGATTTCCACGAAAGGTCACTACTAAAAACCATCCTGAGAGGCTGTAGCTCTAGAACAGCATAAAGTTCTTTTTTTCTTTCTTCCCAAACACCAAGGGTCCTGTCTACAAAGTGGCTTGGAATCCTTTCAGCACGGACATGTTCCTGAGCTGCTCCGCCGACTGGAGCATCATTTTATGGCACCAGGATTCGCAGACGCCCATGTTAACTTTCAACTCCACCACCACTGCTGTCCACGACATTGCATGGTCTCCAAAATCAGTCTTTGTATTTGCCGCAGCAAACGAAAGCAGAGTGGAAATTTGGGATCTGGGTGTCAGCGTGTAAGTAATTACTTTTCTCAAAGAAGGTTCTGCAACTTAATGGCACAAAGGCCAGGCATTATTGCCTCCTCAGTATTGTTATCAGACCAGGACAGCTCCCCACCCTTTGCTTGCTCACTCATTGAAAGCACTGCATTTTGCAACACTCGTTCTGTAAAAGCAGATGGTTCCTTACCACAGAACTGCAATTACAAGAAAAGGAGCCAGATGCCTCGTGGAACTGATAAAGGGTAAAACTGCTTTTTTTCTGCAGAAATCATAAATTCTACCGCTCCTATAGTTAAAAGGAAAAACAACAGAACTGAGCTACTACAAAATCACTAAATTTAAGATGGTCAGAAGTTCAGACACCTCTCACTTTTTCCCTTTGCTGTGAAGTAGGTGCACACCTTACATTAATTTGTAGCCTTCTGCTGCTGGGCTGCAGTTTGGTCTTAACAACAGCACAAAGCCAGTGGTGGAGCAGGAGCCCTACCAAATCTTGCAGTAGCAAAAAGCAAATTATTCACATAATAACTATTAATACCCACCCACTCTGCAGAAATCATAAATTCTACCGCTCCTATAGTTAAAAGGAAAAACAACAGAACTGAGCTACTACAAAATCGCTAAATTTAAGATGGTCAGAAGTTCAGACACCTCTCACTTTTTCCCTTTGCTGTGAAGTAGGTGCACACCTTACATTAATTTGTAGCCTTCTGCTGCTGGGCTGCAGTTTGGTCTTAACAACAGCACAAAGCCAGTGGTGGAGCAGGAGCCCTACCAAATCTTGCAGTAGCAAAAAGCAAATTATTCACATAATAACTATTAATACCCACCCACCCACCCCCCATATTAGGCAATAGGACAGATTTTAGGCAACTTAGTTAATAGCAACTGGGAGTTGGTCGAGACCCAGTAAAACACCGCCTCACTTCTTAGTTTTTAAGTTAATCTAGAACATCATTAAGTAAAACAGGCAACGTTTATCAGCCCTGTGTTACTGCTAGACTTTACCCTCCAGGCAAATGCAGTTTTACCTCTGTCACCATTAATATTTGCCTCTGCTGGGTTGCAGCTTGAACCCCGTGATCTCTTGCATTGCCAGCCCAAGAGAGAAATTCACCTCTGTGCTCTTTGCCACGAACACTGACTGCCTTCTGGTGGGAGACAGCAAAGGAGAAGTCCGTGTGTTGGAGCTGCAGAACCTGGCTGCTCCCAGCACTGACAAGGTACGACTCGCTAGGAGAAGTTAGTGGACCTCTGAGGTCCACCTCAAGGGCTTTCTGTTAAAGACCTAGCTAATAATTATTGAAATAAGTGGAATCAGATAGAATTTGATAACCGGAATAATACCTGAGGAGGTTCCTGCTCTTCTGCATGCCGTACTGCTAGAAATTTCAGGAATGGGTCACTCAACAGGTAAGAAACTTGAAATTTTGATTAGTGGTTCCCCACAGCTGGATTTGGGAGGGACACTGGGGGCAAAGGCAGGAAGGTGGAGCCTCCTCTAAAATGCAGTCTGCAGGTGCCTGTGTTTGGCAGAACGCCCTCACCTGCTGAAAAGGCAGGACCCACGTGCCCTCTCCTGGCCACCACCAAGATAGTCTCACTTTGGTGGACCACCAGGTTCCTCTCCCATTGTCCCATGCACAGATTCCATGGAGCAGCACTGTAAAACCTGACTCCTATCAACTGGCAATCCCTTCTCTTCACTTTTGCATAAAGAAGTGCTAATTTATACCAAAGCCTGCTCCACGCTGCAAAATCCTGGTGCCACCCCAGGTCCTCTAGCCCCAGGTGGATCCCTCCTCCAGGTGCTATCATCTGCAGGGGGCTGCAGCCCCCAACTGCACAGCTCCCTTCGTCCTTCCAGCCTTGAGCAAGTCCCTTGGGCTTACCAGACACAGGTTCCCAGTTTGTAGAGTGGGACTGGTACTTTTTAAAATCCCTTCTGAGTTACGTGGTGCAAAACACTAAAGTTGGAGAGAACAAGAATGCTGATGTTAACCTGCTTCATTCTTAGGGTATGAAGGATTAGTAATTCACAATTGTCAGCATTGCATTTATAAAGTCTGGTAATCACCAGCCTCATTTGCTACGTTCTGTAAACCACAGAGGAAGAAAGATCTTTCCCTTAAAAACTAAAAGTGAGGTCACTGTTGTTAAACTTAGAAAATAAAATTATTGCAAATCACCATGAAGCAGCCCAAGTCCTCTGAGCAGAGAAGCCCTTCAGTTAATAAGGGTATAGGGACAATGTCCTGGGTACATCACCGGAACAGGAGTGAAAACATCAGTGCTGGATTCCAGACTTTGGGCACGTGGTGTAAATGGTGTGACTTTATGGCCTCAAGTTGCGCCAGGGGAGGTTCAGGCTGGATATTAGGAGAAATTTTTTCACTGAAAGGGTTATCAGCCATTGGAATGGGCTGCCCAGGGAGGTGGTTGAGGCCCCATCCCTGGAGGTGTTCAAAAGACAGGTTGATGTAGTGCTGGGAGGTATGGTTTAGTGATGGTGATGCTCCTTGTTTGTTGTGTGGGTGTCTATTTTTGTCAGTTAGGTTGACGGTTGGACAAGATGATCTTTAAGGTCCCTTCCAACCTAGAAGATTCTGTGATTCTGTAACTGCTCACCGAGTCACAGAGCCTCACCAGCCAGAGCCCCACTTTGCCAGCATCACCCCTTTCCTTCACTCCCCTTCCCAGTAACCCCAGCTTTGGGCAGGTCCCAGGCTCAGCATGACAGGGGCTGTGCTGCACCTAACGCTGAGGGGAGAGAACTCAGGGGCAATCACATCTAAGCACAGTTACTGCATGTGCATCATATTGAGAATTAATTTCCTTCATAAACAGGATGTATGTGTGTACGCTGCTAAGTACGATGCTACAAATGCAATGCGAACGGGCCTGCCAAAAAGTGCTATTTTCAAGGACTACTGTTCAAGGTAAGCATAGTATTAATGCAATTCCAAAGACTGAGGTAACACAAACTACCTTAGCCTGCTTCCCAGGTGCTCACTGCACAAGCAGTTCTGTTCTCAGTTTGTAAATAAGGAATTTTGGATCTCTGCACGTCTTGTACTGCCATTACACTGTCATACAGCTCTTTTTTCCCCTCTTTTTTTACAGGTGACATAATTGGTCCTGCTGTAGCAATTTAACAGTAGCTAAACGATACCTCAGTTGGTAAACAGCAAGAAAGGCTTATTGTAGGATTAACATAAACCTTTTGTTCTTTTCCAATCATTAAATTTCCCCTCTTTTTTTTTTTACAGGTGACATAATTGGTCCTGCTGTAGCAATTTAACAGTAGCTAAACGATACCACTTCTCAGTCGGTAAACAGCAAGAAAGGCTTATTTTAGGATTAACATAAACCTTTTGTTCTTTTCCAATCATTAAATTTCTCTTTGAAGCCATACTGGTTAGAATCAGTTGGTAAACAGCAAGAAAGGCTTATTGTAGGATTAACATAAACCTTTTGTTCTTTTCCAATCATTAAATTTCTCTTTGAAGCCATACTGGTTAGAAACTTCCTTCAAATGCTCTAAATTTTCCCCTGGAAGCCCCTCTCATTACACAAACTATTAACACACAGATGGCCCTCCCTATAATACAGATAACGGAATGGAAAGGTCTCAGTCATCTGGTCTCCTTGGGTTTTTTCTCCTTGTTTTTTTCCTCCCAAGGTCTTTTCTCCTTAGGTTACTGGAAAAGTGGCAAAAATCCCCCCTTTCATAGGCCACTCCATAATACAGCCCAAAGTCCTTCCCAGATGGAGAATGTATCTTCCCTGTGAAATCACAGAGTGAAAGAAGGGGTGTTTCATCAGAGCCATCTTGTCTGCCATTCCATAAATAATAAATAATAAATACTGCTGAGGGTAAAAGCTGAGATTCAAGGGGCATCAGATCTGTGAGCTGCAGACCATCCCACACCAGGCAAAAGCAGAGACCAACCTTTCAACCCCTGACAAATGAGAATAACAGCAAATCACCACTTAAATCCCCTCAGTCCCACACCAACGCTTTCCTGATGGCTCCTCACACGAGGCAGGAGTGTGCTCCTGGAACAAGGATTGACTTTGGCACCTCTGGAAGTGGTGAGAGCCTGGCCCAGGTTGCCCAAAGAAGCTGCCCCATCCCTGGAGGGGTTCAAGGGCAGGTTGGAGGGGGCTTGGAGCAACCTGGGCTGGTGGGAGGTGTCCCTGCCCAGGGCAGGGGGTGGGAACTCAATGATCTTTAAGGTCCCTTCCACCCAAACCATTCTGTGATTCTATGATCTGTGTTTGTTGAGGTCCACCAGCTCCTCCAGCCCAGCAGGATCTGCTGGGAAGGCTTGCTTGGGCCTGCCTTGCTGGCTGGAAGCAGGCAGCGTTGGGCTCTCTATGCTACCTTTTTTGGGGACAGACCAGAAGAAACAGGAAAAAAAGCACCCAGCGAGCCACCAGCTGGACCTTAGAGGATTTTCAGACTGCTCACAGAAAATTGGAGCATCTCTAGAGGTGAGTAATTAAGAGTAAGACGCAGGGTCCAGCCCTCTGGCCCGATGGTGCAGCAGGGAGCAGGCAGCAAAGCGTTTCCAGAAAGCCCTCCGTAGCCAAACATCTATTTTATAGACACACGGAACATCCAGGCTCTGGTTGGCCTGACAATAAACCTCCAACATTTAAACACATCACTGAAGTTAAAGATCATTTGTGATGCATTAACATCCACTTCCCTCTGCGTGCAGGAAACCTACCCTCGGCATAAAATTAATCGCCGTGCATTTCAAAGACAGACACCCATTAAGGTGAATCATGTGTTAATCATTATTACAAATCTGAACAGAATACACCATATATTTTCCATCGGTGGTCATGACTGTTTGCTTACGGATGCTACTGGTAAAAAAACGGGCTTTCTGTCAAGGCTGTAACATGTCATAATTCACCCAACATGGTGTAAACTAATTAACTGTGACATTATGGTGCTGCAAAACACCTGTGGTGCTAGGAAGTGCTAAAGCTCACTGAAGTTCCTCGTGTGTTTTGTTCTTAAATATAGAATTTCTGACCTGGTAATTGACAAATTGTTTCCTTAAGGCATTTTATTGCAAGAATGTTTTAGAGAAGCTTACAGCAACTGCAGCCATCGCCACCCACGGCAGCATAACCAGCCTGCCCAGTCCCAGGGCACGGCTCTGTGCTGCTTTAGTGAACCCACTTCTCTCTTTCAGCTACTACCAGAGGGAAAAGGACAGCCAGGACACCCACCTGTCCCTATTCTGTGTTTTGCTTAGAGCCTCTCCCACTCTTCTCTGTGTCTTTTTGGGCAAGGGCCACGTCCACAGGCCTTGCTGCAGAGACCACTGAACACAGTGGCTGCAGCAGAGCTTCTTCCCTGCAGCCAGGTACCTGCCAGGCAAACCATGGAATGGTTTGGGTTGGAAGGGACCTTAAATCCCCACCCAGTGCCACCCCCTGCCCTGGGCAGGGACACCTCCCACCACACCAGGTTGCTCCAAGCCCCCTCCAACCTGCCCATCCCCAGGCCTTGCTGCAGAGACCACTGAACACGGCGGCTGCCGCAGAGCTTCTTCCCTGCAGCCAGGTACCTGCCAGGCAAACCATGGAATGGTTTGGGTTGGAAGGGACCTTAAATCCCCCCCCAGTGCCCCCCCCTGCCCTGGGCAGGGACACCTCCCACCACACCAGGTTGCTCCAAGCCCCCTCCAACCTGCCCTTGAACCCCTCCAGGGATGGGGCAGCCACAGCTTCTCTGGCCAACCTGGGCCAGGCTCTCACCACCCTCCCACCAAACAAGTTCTTCCCCACAGCTCAGCTCCATCTCCCCTCTTGCAGGGTCCAACCCTTCCCCCTCCTCCTAGGGCTCCCCTCCCTCATCCAGAGTCCCTCCCCAGCTTTCCTGGAGCCCCCCTTCTTTAGGGACTGGAAGGGGCTGGAAGGTCTCCCCGGAGCCTTCTCTTCTCCAGGCTGAACCCCCCCAACTCTCTCAGCCTGTCCCCAGAGGACACAAGCTGTCAAACAGCTCCACTGCTCTGCAGTTACAGAATCCCAGAATGATATAGGGCTGGAAGGGACCTCTGGAGATCATCTCTTCTGACCCCCTGCCAGAGCAGGTCCACCTACAGCAGGTTGCACAGGAACGTGTCCAGGTTGGGTCTGAATGTCTCCAGAGATGGAGGCTCCACCACCTCCCTGGGCAGCCTCTTCCAGGGGCTCTCCCACCCTCAAGTTCGTTACAGCCAGTTCACTGTGCTCAAACCCTCTGTGTGTGGCAGCATCACGTCCTATCACCCATCACACCCACAATCATAGAAGGCACGTCCAGCCTACAATTGCCAGAAAAACCCTCAGCACATGATTTTGTCTTAACTGCTCAGCACTTTCAGATTCCTCTGAAGCATCGGCAGTTGCTGGCTGGACAAGGGGATGGTTGGCAGTTCGTTACAGCCAGTTCATGGTGCAAAAACCCTCTGTGTGCGGCAGCATCACGTCCTATCACCCATCACACCCTCTCCCACCCTCAAGTTCGTTACAGCCAGTTCACTGTGCTCAAACCCTCTGTGTGTGGCAGCATCACGTCCTATCACCCATCACACCCACAATCATAGAAGGCACGTCCAGCCTACAATTGCCAGAAAAACCCTCAGCACATGATTTTGTCTTAACTGCTCAGCACTTTCAGATTCCTCTGAAGCATCGGCAGTTGCCGGCTGGACAAGGGGATGGTTGGCCAGAGAAGAGGGTAACAAAGAGGTTTGCAACTGCAGACATCACTGGAAGGTCTTAACTCACTTTTAGTTTGGGATCACTAAGAGAAGAAGCCCCGGTGCTGCCTACACCATGATAACAGGCACGGCCGGGCAACAGGCTGCGGGGGAAACGCACCGAGACAAAACCCATTATCTACAAACCAGGTAATAAACACCCTTTGGTTTTTGCAGAACATACACATTAGCGCTATTAACCTAAGCCCGTACCCTATAAACTTGTTATACTACAGGTGTTCCTATAGTAAAGCAGTTACGCAGCCTTAAGAAGTCTTTAATACCCCACCAAAATCCCAGCACAAATCCCAAAGCACTTAAAACATCGCCGGAAACGAGCGATTAACTTGTTTTTAGCAAACATGAAGTCATCCTGGGAACGAGCCATCCCCCGGCGGAGCGGAGGGGCCGGGGGGTATAAATGAGAAGGTTTCAGCAGAGCTCCCCACCTGGTCCTGAGCTCCCTCACAGAATCACCTCCTGCCCCACCAGCAACCAGTGACCGCAGCATGAGGGGCTCGGTGGTGGCACTGGCCTTGCTGGCTCTCCTGGTGGTGGCACAGGAGGGACACGGGGAAGGGAACACCGTCAGGCTCTGCGGGAGAGACTTCATCCGAGCCGTCGTCTTCACCTGCGGCGGCTCTCGCTGGAAAAGGCATTTGACTGATTATCACTACCTGTTTGGTAAGTACTAATTAATGCTCGTGGCCCCCTGCGAAGAGTCGAAGACCCAAATCACCCTCAGCTTCTGCTGCTCCTCAACCACGGGCTTCGCTGGGACCCAGCAAACAAATTGATGCCACTTCTCACTTTTTTGGCTCAGCTCAGTGTGCTATTTTGCCAAATAAATAACATTTAGATGAAGATTTCCCACGTGGAAATCTTTCCAGCATGAGGAACCACGCGTTAAGCCTGAGGCTATGACTGAAAATCTCTCTGCCAGAGACAAGCCTCGCTGCAGCCAACGCAAGTCTTTTAGCACCGTCTTCAGCAGGACACACTGCCTTCCCCACTAGAAACCAGAAACTTTATTACAACTTTAAAATATTAAAGTACGTTGAATATATACCCTGCAATTTAAGTACCTTCTCATGGTGCTGTATGTATTTATATTATAGATAGAAATCTGTATCTAATCTCTGATAGAAAATTCAGCCATTAGATGCACTGCTAGAAATTTGTACTCCAGACAGGTTAATAGAGCTAGAAAAAAGAAAATAAAAGAGGCAAAAGAGACAGGAACAGCTGCTTTGCACACTTTCCATGCAGTAACATCTGCCTTTTTGGAAAATTCTCTTGATGTAGCAGCTTTAAACCAGCATAAAAAAGCGATGGCACCTGCAAGACCCCACCCAAGGGTCCGATAAAAGAGAAGAAACCAAGCACGAGAATGACTATACCTTTATATACCCCAGGCAGCGCCCACTTGTACCATGATACTTAAAACACACATGAATCTCAAGCCTAATTTAAGTGGGAACACCCCCCAGAACTTTGGAATTGTAGGGTATCTGGTGCCTTCGCGTAATATCTGCGTTTCAGGAAACCCACAACACACTGGTCAAGGGCCAGACACATCAAACCATAGGGTTACCCTTCAAAGCAAACACGTCGGTGTAAGACCAACACGGCAACTACTCCGACAAAAAACACTCTTCAATATAAAACCATAAATTACTGGAGTTTAACACTCTAACATCAGAATGGGTACCTTGCATATCTCTTTTAATACTGTCCTGGTGAGAAGCCTGGTAGATCTGTTTCTCTCCTCAGAAACATGCAGGACGATACTTCCAGCTCCCTGGCTGGAGGCTGCTCTGTCTTTCTAGTAAAGATAAATATTACCAGCTACTCACGACTCCACAACTTTTAATTTTTAGCTTCAAGTTTCGATGGGGCAGAGAGTGACAACCCCCTGCCTTTCTCACAAGAGAACAAGGGTTACGCCGACTCCTCGGCACAGGCAGCCCTGGAGACCGACAGCGAAGAAATCCAGGACATCCAGCCCGGGACAGAGCGGGATTCACGGCGCAGCAGGAAAATGTCTGCCCTAAAAAAGCGCGAAGCCGCCAAACTGCTGACCACGTCCTGCTGCAGCATCGGCTGCAGCGAGAGAGAGATCAGTTCCCTCTGCTGAAACCCATCGGCTGGCAGCCCTCCCATATTAAAATAATTGTGACATAAACCACAGTTCTGTCAGTCGTCTTCTTTAATTGTCGCTTTATCCTTTGAGTACGCGAAGGAATAAAGGCTGAATGTTAAATGTAGCGCAACCCTACAGGTTGGGCTGTCCACAAAGCATTCCCAGTGGGTTAAACTTTTAGTCATGAGTAACAACATTTCTTCCCATCTAACTACTGCTCTAGTTTCAGCTTTGCACCTGAAACATGATAAAATAGGCAATTTGTTATATACTTGTTCTCCTACTTACGAAAATCCAACAGCAGTTTCAGCTGTGAAATACAGGTAGCAAAAAGCCCTGGTTTCAAGCCCAGAATAAAGCCAAGGCCGTGCAGATGAGAGCCCTACAGGTTGGGCTGTCCACAAAGCATTCCCAGTGGGTTAAACTTTTAGTCACAAGTAAAAACATTTCTTCCCATCTAACTACTGCTCTAGTTTCAGCTTTGCATGTAGCGCAACCCTACAGGTTGGGCTGTCCACAAAGAGTTCCCAGTGGGTTAAACTTTTAGTCATGAGTAAAAACATTTCTTCCCATCTAACTACTGCTCTAGTTTCAGCTTTGCACATGAAACATGATAAAATAGGCAATTTGTTATATACTTGTTCTCCTACTTACGAAAATCCAACAGCAGTTTCAGCTGTGAAAACAGAGGCTCCAGGAAAGCTGGGGAGGGACTCTGTGCAGAACTCAAACACCACCATAACTAGAGGGAAAGGTCTGATGCAGATTTAACACTTATTAACGGCATTTCTGGCCATGGCAACCACAGGACAGAGCTTTTACTGAAGCGTGTGCTTGGCCAGAGCCAAGCTGCTCAAACAAACCTCATCATTAACTCATCTAAGCCTCCCCCTGTCACAGACCAACCCTTGATGCACCTTGATAGCCTGCCCCAGCAGTTTTTAACACTCGATATTTACATTTGGGGGCCTCCCCGCCCCGACAGCCGCCCCCCTGGCCCCCCGTCGAGGTGTGAAGACAAAATGGCCGCCTGGAGCGCCCAGCGGTACCTCAGCCATGTCCCTGGCCATGTCCCGGCAGCGGGCCGGCTCGTAGGGCTGCTCCCTCAGGTAGCTCCCCACCACATCCCTCAGGATATCATCCACCGCCGCCACCGGGAAACGCTTGGGGGGACCTGCGGGATGAGGTTAAGCTTGCTCTAGTTTCAGCTTTGCACATGAAACATGATAAAATAGGCAATTTGTTATATACTTGTTCTCCTACTTACGAAAATCCAACAGCAGTTTCAGCTGTGAGCAAAGTGGCCACAGCTGACCCAGGATGGGCCAGCACTAGCCCCAGGGCTGGGCAGGCAGCAGCTGTGGGTTATTTCCTATTCCAGCTGCTTCCAGTAACATCCACCTGGGGTCCTACCTACTGGAGAATTAATTTGCATCCAGGGAGACTGGAAACAAACTGGGGAGCTCAGAGGGGCTGGCACACACTTAACTGCCCTTAAACAGAAGGCTCTAGGAAGACCTTCCAGCCCCTTCCAGTCCCTAAAGAAGGGGGGCTCCAGGAAAGCTGGGGAGGGACTCTGGATGAGGGAGGGGAGCCCTAGGAGGAGGGGGAAGGGTTGGACCCTGCAAGAGGGGAGATGGAGCTGAGCTGTGGGGAAGAACTTGTTTGGTGGGAGGGTGGTGAGAGCCTGGCCCAGGTTGGCCCGAGAAGCTGTGGCTGCCCCATCCCTGGAGGGGTTCAAGGGCAGGTTGGAGGGGGCTTGGAGCAACCTGATGTGGTGGGAGGTGTCCCTGCCCAGGGCAGGGGGTGGCACTGGGGGGGCTTTGAGGTCCCTTCCAACCCAAACCATTCTGTGATTCTGTGAATGTTCATGATTCCTGCTGTTAGCTCAGCTACCTCCTTACTCAAAATAGACAGCATAGACATTGGCGAGAGCGAAGAGTGAAGTGTTCTTGAACACGTATGATGAGAACGTATCACTCGCAGGATCCCACAGGCACCGGCTTCCAATTTGCATGCTCTGCTCGTTCAGCTGCCCAATATGTGTCACCACAACGATCTTGTACCTTGGTACCATAAGGTCCTTTACCCGAGCTTTAATAACCTGCAAGAGAAAAACACATTTAGACACAACACGGTGAGCTCTCTATGCAGGGGATGCTCAGGGATTTGCTTTTCTGGGACTGGCAAGAGAACATCACCCTGTGGAGCCCTTGCAACAAGCCTGATGACAATCTTTGAGCTACAGCATTTGAAACGTGTACGGCAAATTCTTCCAGCCCTGTGGGTGTACACTGCTGTGGTCCTTTCACAAGAGAACCACCACCTCCATCTGCTAAAACCAGGCACACCTTCCTGCTGGACTCCAGAAATGCATGTACAAATGTTCTGTAAGGAGTTACTGTACATGAACACCATATTCTCCTCCATATGTGTTCACAGTTACCTGCTGATCACAGGGTGGGAAAGGAAGAGCAAACAGTACTACTTTTTTAAATGCTCTTCTGAGCCAAATCAACTGAAAGACTTAAAAGTGTTGGGACAGTCTTTCCTCAGCAGCAAGACTGGATTTAACCAAGGAACTCGCACTCATGTCACTCTGCAGAACTCAAACACTACCATAACTGGAGGGAAAGGTCTGATACAGATTTAACACTTATTAATGGCATTTCTGGCCAGGGCAACCACAGGACTGAGCTTTTACTGAAGCGTGTGCTTGGCCAGAGCCAAGCTGCTCAAACAAACCTCATCATTAACTCATCTAAGCCTCCCCCTGTCACAGACCAACCCTTGATGCACCTTGATAGCCTGCCCCAGCAGTTTTTAACACTCGATATTTACATTTGGGGGCCTCCCCGCCGGCACACCTTCCTGCTGGACTCCAGAAATGCATGTACAAATGTTCTGTAAGGAGTTACTGTACATGAACACCATATTCTCCTCCATATGTGTTCACAGTTACCTGCTGATCACAGGGTGGGAAAGGAAGAGCAAACAGTACTACTTTTTTAAATGCTCTTCTGAGCCAAATCAACTGAAAGACTTAAAAGTGTTGGGACAGTCTTTCCTCAGCAAGACCGGATTTAACCAAGGAACTCGCACTCATGTCACTGTGCAGAACTCAAACACCACCATAACTAGAGGGAAAGGTCTGATGCAGATTTAACACTTATTAACGGCATTTCTGGCCATGGCAACCACAGGACAGAGCTTTTACTGAAGCGTGTGCTTGGCCAGAGCCAAGCTGCTCAAACAAACCTCATCATTAACTCATCTAAGCCTCCCCCTGTCACAGACCAACCCTTGATGCACCTTGATAGCCTGCCCCAGCAGTTTTTAACACTCGATATTTACATTTGGGGGCCTCCCCGCCCCGACAGCCGCCCCCCTGGCCCCCCGTCGAGGTGTGAAGACAAAATGGCCGCCTGGAGCGCCCAGCGGTACCTCAGCCATGTCCCTGGCCATGTCCCGGCAGCGGGCCGGCTCGTAGGGCTGCTCCCTCAGGTAGCTCCCCACCACATCCCTCAGGATATCATCCACCGCCGCCACCGGGAAACGCTTGGGGGGACCTGCGGGATGAGGTTAAGCTGGGGTTTTTTGAGGGGAAAAACCCACCGCGCTGAAGGCGGGAGGAAGGCGCCTCGTCCCGCCCCGAAGCTCCCGGCCCGGGCACCTACCCGAGCGGGGGTCGCTGCCGACGGCGCTGCTGTGCATCCCCGCACCGCTGCTGAGGGGAGGCGGAAGGGCGGGAAGAAGGCGGCCGGCACCGCCTCCCGGCTCCGGCTCCCGGCGGCCGCGGGGTGGTGCTGGCCGCCGCCTGCCCGCCCGGCCCGAGGCCGTGGCACCGGCACAGGCCGCCATGTCGTTGTGCACCCCCCGCCCCAGGCCTCGAGTCCGGCTTCATTCCCCGCTGCCTCCCTGCGTCCTGTGTCGCGGCGGCCCCCACAGGCTCCGTGGGTCTCCCTGCGTGTCCCTGTAACCCCACAGGTCCCCACGACCTCCACAGGTCTCTGCATGTCCATTACAGCCTCCATGGCCCCACGGCTTCCACAGGTCACTGCATGTCCCTACCGCCTCTACATGGCACCACGGCTTCCCTCAGGTCCCCGTGGCCTCCACAGGTCCCCACAGCCTCCACGGGTCCCCACATGTCCCTGGAGCCTCTATCCGTCCCCATGGCTTCCACAGGTCCTCACAGTTTCCACAGGTCCCTTGTGTGCCCCTACAGCCCCCATGGGTCCCCATGGCCTCCACAGGTCCCCAAGTATGCTTAAAAGGCCCCAGGCGTCCCCATGGCTTCCACAGGTGTCCCCACAGCTCCCTCACTGAGGGTCGGTCCCTGCAACCTCCACAGGTCTCCCTAGCCCCCGTGGGTTTGCACACCCCCTATGTCTTCATGGCCCCTGTGGGTCCCCATAGGTCTGCCTATAGGTCCCCCCATGTCTACCTACAGCCCCCACAGGTCCCTATAGCCCCCATGGATCCTCTTGGCTGCCACTTGTGCCTACAGCCCACCACATCTCCCTGTGGCATCCACAGGTCCCCACATTTCCCTATAGCCCACACAGGTCCCCACAGCCCCTGTGTATCCCCATGGACCCCACAGATCCCTAGGTCCCCCTAGACCTCTACAGCCCTGACATGTCCCTGTGGTCTCCATGGGTCCCCTCAACCCCCCACAGCTGACGTCTGAAGAAAAAAGTTAAAATTTTATCAAGAAGTGTCATTTGGCACATGGTTGAGACATCACAGGAGGTATTTAACCTTGAATAGGACGTGAACGAAACAGTGTGTCTTATCTGTTCTATTGCAGTTGCTTAGACATTAGATAACTTGATGATCCCAAGGGTCTCTTCCACCCTGAATGATTCTGTGATTCTATAACTCCTGGACCAAAGTCGAGCCAAGAGTGTATCCCAAACTAACCTTGGGCAATTATCATGCTAAAATACATACTCCTTTGTGAATAATGAGCATGCTAATCAGGTAACCTCCTTCAACATGAGCTTAGATGCGTATGTATAGTTAGTGGTGAATGAATCATTATTGACCAATTGGCTGTATTTTATCATTATAAAAATTGGGCGGTTTGAAACGTGTGGCGTGCAGGCTGTTGTTAAATGCTCGGCACCTGATTGTGCAGATTTGAAATAAAAACAAATATCTTACTCAGTGCATTGGGTTTGAAACGTGTGGCGTGCAGGCTGTTGTTAAATGCTCGGCACCTGATTGTGCAGATTTGAAATAAAAACAAATATCTTACTCAGTGCATTGATTGGCGCTTGCTTGGGTGAAGAACCCTCATTTAGGGACAACACAGCCATGGTCCTTCATGTCCCCACAGCTCCCCACATGCACATGCAAGCAGAGCTCACGCAGAAAAAGTAGTGTTTTATGGTTTCTGTTTATTTTCAAGGAAAAAAAAAATCACATTTAAATTGCAACTCAATCGGGTATTTAATGTGGTTCTTATGTATAGAATTAATAAACTTTGTTCTGACGTGGGGATTTATTTGTTGCAACATTATGCATGGTAAATAATTGCATATTCAAGATTTTGTGAAATGGGTGACGGGGGAGGATGGAGGAGAGACATTTATAAAAAACATTATTTACAAAAAAATGATATCCACATAGTCGTATTCTAATCTATAAGGCAAGTAACATTTAAAATATGTTGTTTCATGATTATCTTCAACAAGTCAATACAACACATTCATATTACCAGTGGTCAAATACAAAGCTTTGCTGCTGCGATAGTCCGTGTGCAACAAACCTGTACGTCTTTTACAGTTTTTTTTTTTTCTCTGAGAACAGTAGGTAAGCAGCAAAGTTTTCATCACAGACTAAGCAGTACCTAGGCCATCGTAGACTAAAGGTATAATATATCTCATTGCACGTTTAGGCAAAAAAGGCCAGCCATTAATTAACTTATTTAACTTAAATCTTAAAAATAGACCTGTGTATCTTAATCCACAAATATTTATAAACATTTTTATACACGAGGGAGTTTGTAAAATGATACAGGGCACTACCCTGGGAAAGCCGATTCACTTTTGGGGCTTCCTCTGGCTTCTGAGGTGTCATTTGCTTAGACATTAGATAACTTGATGATCCCAAGGGTCTCTTCCACCCTGAATGATTCTATGATTCTATAACTCCTGGACCAAAGTCGAGCCAAGAGTGTATCCCAAACTAACCTCGGGCAATTATCATGCTAAAATACATACTCCTTTGTGAATAATGAGCATGCTAATCAGGTAACCTCCTTCAACATGAGCTTAGATGCGTATGTATAGTTAGTGGTGAATGAATCATTATTGACCAATCAGCTGTATTTTATCATTATAAAAATTGGGCGGTTTGAAACGTGTGGCGTGCAGGCTGTTGTTAAATGCTCGGCACCTGATTGTGCAGATTTGAAATAAAAACAAATATCTTACTCAGTGCATTGATTGGTGCTTGCTTGGGTGAAGAACCCTCATTTAGGGACAACACAGCCATGGTCCTTCATGTCCCCACAGCTCCCCACATGCACATGCAAGCAGAGCTCACGCAGAAAAAGTAGTGTTTTATGGTTTCTGTTTATTTTCAAGGAAAAAAAAAATCACATTTAAATTGCAACTCAATCGGGTATTTAATGTGGTTCTTATGTATAGAATTAATAAACTTTGTTCTGACGTGGGGATTTATTTGTTGCAACATTATGCATGGTAAATAATTGCATATTCAAGATTTTGTGAAATGGGTGACGGGGGAGGATGGAGGAGAGACATTTATAAAAAACATTATTTACAAAAAAATGATATCCACATAGTCGTATTCTAATCTATAAGGCAAGTAACATTTAAAATATGTTGTTTCATGATTATCTTCAACAAGTCAATACAACACATTCATATTACCAGTGGTCAAATACAAAGCTTTGCTGCTGCGATAGTCCGTGTGCAACAAACCTGTACGTCTTTTACAGTTTTTTTTTTTTCTCTGAGAACAGTAGGTAGGCAGCAAAGTTTTCATCACAGACTAAGCAGTACCTAGGCCATCGTAGACTAAAGGTATAATATATCTCATTGCACGTTTAGGCAAAAAAGGCCAGCCATTAATTAACTTATTTAACTTAAATCTTAAAAATAGACCTGTGTATCTTAATCCACAAATATTTATAAACATTTTTATACACGAGGGAGTTTGTAAAATGATACAGGGCACTACCCTGGGAAAGCCGATTCACTTTTGGGGCTTCCTCTGGCTTCTGAGGTGTCATGGCAAGGTTCTCCTGCGCCTGGAGCCCTCCATCCCCAGCCCGTGGCCACAGGAGCGGAGCTTCAATTCTTCAATTCACAACCTGACCCCATTCCTCTCTCAGCCCACGACTAATATCTCCATATTTTTTATCCCCTCAAAGCAACCGGGTGATTTTCTCAACCTTGGAGCGTTTTGGAGTGGAAAACCCCCTGCTGGGTAGATTATGAACCCAAAAGCAGGACGGCCAGTCTGCAGCCATTCGCCCCGTGTCCCGAAAAACAGAGAGATTTCTAGCGGAGGAATAAGATATTCCAAATGCCTCGCTAAAACCTGGCATGTTTCATCCCATACTGCTTGGTCTGCAGTGAAGTCCTGCTTGTGTGAGAACCTTTGAAGAGCAGATCTTTCTCTAGCCTTACAGCGACATAAGAATTAAAATACTGATGATCATAAAAACTCCCTGGCTCTGCAAGGGCTACTTCCCATGGGAAATTGTGAGAAACAGAAGAAAAGAAGAATTCTGGCTATGAAATGAAGTCTTTGAGACAGTTATTTCTTACCGGGAAAGCACAATGTGATGATGTTACATATTTTGGTTATGGTAAGCTTCAAAATTAAATTTTTTAACCAAGACACTTTCACATAAAAACAACACAAGGGCAGGGGAAAAAAAAAATAATCACTCCATATTCAGTATATTGAAGTAGTTTTCTCAAGTAGATGATGGGTGTTTGGGCAAGAAAAAAAATCACTCCATATTCAGTGTGTTGAAATGGCTTTCTCAAGTAGATGATGGGTGTTTGGGCAACACACCTGTGGGTCGTATTTCCAAAAAAAAAAGGTAAAATGGAGCAGAATTTCTCTGCGAGAGGTCCAAGGAGGGCTAAATGTTTTTAATAAAAAATGTTTGACTTTCTCTTAGGTCATTTGAAAATATATCACCTTTTCATTGCAGTCCAGCCATTTAAAAAGGCTTCCGCTGGGAGAAAGCAAAGCGGTGGTTCGTTGCATGATGCTCGTGCTGTGGGAATCTCTGCATGCTGGGAGAAAGCGCAGCGGTTGCATGATGCTCGTGCTGTGGGAATCTCTGCAGTGGTTTGAATCCTCCAGAGTTAGGTAAATGAACACAAATGAACACAAATACAACTTGGCGTGGGCAGCACGGCAAGGTCTCGGCAGGGACATGGTGGAAAAACAATCACCCCGTGCAAGAGCTGACCAGTTTTTTAAGACTGTGCACTAAACACCTACCCCGGATCCCTGTGGTCACATTCAAAGGAGAAGGCAGACCTGCAGATGCGTGTGGCTTCAAAAATCATCAGTTTAAGCAGCATGTTTCTCTTGTTTTTTCCCAAGCAGCCCAAATTCTAGGCACTACCATGAGAAATACCCCAACAGCATCCCCCGACAGTGAGGGGGAGATAAAGCCTGCCTGGGAAACCACCTTCCCTCCCCATACCCTCCCTGCCTGGCCAAAAAGGGATGTCATTTTAACATAAACTTTTTTTTCCCCTTCTAAATTTAACAAAGCCCCTCTAATAGATAAATCCCAAAAGGGCAGGAAGAATAGTTTAATGGACAGTGGCCTTAAAGCAAAAATAAGCAGCTTTGTAACAGGGGAGTGATATTTAATGCAAGCACCAACTGAAACGTTTACTATCTGACAGTATTTTGTTCTACTGAGAAAATTCATCATTCTTAAGAAATATTGCTAAAGTAGAAAAAAACTGGTCTGAAACACCTCCTGTGAGGAGCACCGTAAGCTGGCTGAGAATCGTGAATGTGTGCAACAAATAGAAGAAGAAAAGTTGAAAAAAAAAAAAAGGAAAAATAAAATACTTCCTGCTCCTAATGTCTGAAGACCCGAGTTTGCAGGAGTCTGTGGAGAAAAATGCTCCCTCTCAGGATCCCAGTGGAAAACCCCTCGAGGGGGGCAGAGATGGCTGAGGACACACTCTAAAGGGAAAGGCCCACGCAAGTAAGCTTTTTTGTGCATGCATCACACCCAGTTACTATTTGAATGCCTTCTTTATTTATCCTTTTTTATTTTTTTAACTCAGATGGTGAGATCTGAGTGCTGCTGAGTTTGGGGGGGCAGTGCTGGAAGGCTGAGTCCCTTTTTAGCCTCGGACAGACTTGGCAAAAACCCCTCTAGACGTCGAGCTCTAGAAATTCAGGTGACTTGCAGGCTGCTGCCTTTTCAGCTCCCTGCTGACGTGACTGCTCTCTGCTAGCGGGCAGGGAGTACCAAATCCCCTGAAAATACACATTTTTTTCATCCCTAAAAGCAGAGGTGAAGCCTGCAGAGTGCCCTGACTGTATCCCCCGTGGCCTCTCTGAGGGGCTCTCACCACTACTCCAGAAGCTGGAATGGGGGATAAACATCTCTATCTGCTGCTTTAAATTTAAATCTGATACATCCCGAGCTGCTGCCCATAATCTTTTTTTCCTGCTGATGCCTTCTCAAAGCCAGGCAGAAAGAAGACCAGCCTCCTGCTCTTCAGACTTAGAAACACAACTGGTCCATTCCCTCCTCCTGCCTGGGGTAATCACAGAATCACAGAATGGTTTGGGTGGGAAGGGACCTCAAAGCCCCCCCAGTGCCACCCCCTGCCCTGGGCAGGGACACCTGCCACCACACCAGGTTGCTCCAAGCCCCCTCCAACCTGCCCTTGAACCCCTCCAGGGATGCTGTAAGGGTAATGCTGGGGTACCACGCTCATACAGCACGTGGAAAAACAAAAAAGGGACAAAATAAGCATCCCCGGGGCACTCTGCCACTCTGCTCAGACCTCAGACAGGGCAGGAAAAATAAAGCACCAACGTGGAGTGGCATCTCCTTTCAAAGGAGCCCAGGAGGGCGGTTGTGCTTGGGGGGGGAAAAGCAGAAACACACCGTTCAACATGAAAATAATGCAAAGAAAATAGAAAAAGCAGTATGTAAAAATTCTATCCCAAACCACCGTTTTCGGTCCCAGGGTTGCGAGCTGGGAGTAGCTGGTTTGTGTCACCTGGAGAGGGACAGTGTCCCTGTGGGGCTGCAAACACATCGAATTCGGGTCTGCCAGGGAGTTTATCCCAGAAAAGGTGCAGACCTTTCTCATCTCTCCACCCAGGCCAGTGGGGCTGTGTCCCAGCACCCCGAAAAAGTGACCGCCATTTAGGGGGACAGCACAAAAGCTTGGGGAGCTTTGGGTTATGGGTTTTTTCTTTTGTTTAAAAAGCATTTAAAAACCCAACGCTAATGTAAACACCTTGTCTTTCAAATGAAATATAAAGTAAAATATCTATGTTCTGGTAATATTTACATTATAAAATCCTTATTTTCAGGACTATGACATAGATCTCTCTTGGAAGCATGACTTTATAACAATTGTACACAGCATGAACCAATTATGCAAAACCCGATTCTTAGACTTTGCCCTCTCAGAGAGGGGTAGGTGACACCATTTGTACATATTTCCATTGCAGGGGGGGGAAAATTATTAAAGGAGTTGAACGCTCCATCCAAGAGTTTGCTTCCAAAACCTGCAAGGATGTATGAAGTCGCATAACCGAGTTGTGCTTTAACTTCTGGGTCGCTGCCTTTCCTGAGCATGCACACAACCCAACCACCCCATGACCAAACATCCGCCTGGGAGTCATCTCGGGACTGAAAAAGCCTCCAGATTTCCTTATTTTCTTTTAAGATGGGCAGGGATTTCTGGTTTCTCCCATCTGCTTTCAGGTTCTCCGGACTGCCCTGTGAGCAAGCACTGCCCAGCGCACAGCCTAAGTTTTCCAACGCAAACGCTCCAAGCCTAATCCTGGCAACACTTGTGACTGTAAAATTATCACTATTTGTCATTTTACACATTTCTAAAGTCCCCAGCACCCTCTTTGGCAGATGCTCCTGTGCTTCTCTGTGCACCTGAATGGCAGCCGTGGAGTGGCATCTCCTTTCAAAGGAGCCCAGGAGGGCGGTTGTGCTTGGGGGGGGAAAAGCAGAAACACACCGTTCAACATGAAAATAATGCAAAGAAAATAGAAAAAGCAGTATGTAAAAATTCTATCCCAAACCACCGTTTTCGGTCCCAGGGTTGCGAGCTGGGAGTAGCTGGTTTGTGTCACCTGGAGAGGGACAGTGTCCCTGTGGGGCTGCAAACACATCGAATTCGGGTCTGCCAGGGAGTTTATCCCAGAAAAGGTGCAGACCTTTCTCATCTCTCCACCCAGGCCAGTGGGGCTGTGTCCCAGCACCCCGAAAAAGTGACCGCCATTTAGGGGGACAGCACAAAAGCTTGGGGAGCTTTGGGTTATGGGTTTTTTCTTTTGTTTAAAAAGCATTTAAAAACCCAACGCTAATGTAAACACCTTGTCTTTCAAATGAAATATAAAGTAAAATATCTATGTTCTGGTAATATTTACATTATAAAATCCTTATTTTCAGGACTATGACATAGATCTCTCTTGGAAGCATGACTTTATAACAATTGTACACAGCATGAACCAATTATGCAAAACCCGATTCTTAGACTTTGCCCTCTCAGAGAGGGGTAGGTGACACCATTTGTACATATTTCCATTGCAGGGGGGGGAAAATTATTAAAGGAGTTGAACGCTCCATCCAAGAGTTTGCTTCCAAAACCTGCAAGGATGTATGAAGTCGCATAACCGAGTTGTGCTTTAACTTCTGGGTCGCTGCCTTTCCTGAGCATGCACACAACCCAACCACCCCATGACCAAACATCCGCCTGGGAGTCATCTCGGGACTGAAAAAGCCTCCAGATTTCCTTATTTTCTTTTAAGATGGGCAGGGATTTCTGGTTTCTCCCATCTGCTTTCAGGTTCTCCGGACTGCCCTGTGAGCAAGCACTGCCCAGCGCACAGCCTAAGTTTTCCAACGCAAACGCTCCAAGCCTAATCCTGGCAACACTTGTGACTGTAAAATTATCACTATTTGTCATTTTGCACATTTCTAAAGTCCCCGGCACCCTCTTTGGCGGATGCTCCTGTGCTTCTCTGTGCACCTGAATGGCAGCCACACTTGATTTCAAAAAGATCCCTTCTTTCTTTTCCCCAAATCCCCGAATTCTGCCATTAAAACGAGCTCTCCACCTTCAGTGCCATGAACGCTCTCAGCATGTTGCCAGCAGGAGGCTGAGACATCACCTAAAAACCATCCAACACCGCGCAGGGGATGCACAGAGAGGGTCTGGCTCAGGAAAAACACAGAAGGACAGTTTTTCCCTCCCCGCAACCTCCCGTTTAACACTTTTATGCATTTTCCCATCTCCACGATGGCAAACTCCTGCCCCACGGGATTTCGGCAGCTCCCACACTGCTCCTGCTCCCCCAGCACCAGGTGTCCCACCAAGGGGCAGCTGTGGGCTGCATTTGTTCTCTCATATATATATATATGTATAGGTTTTCCTGCCTAATTAGTATAAAATAGAAAGGCATGGAGGGGCTGCATGTCCTTAAAGCATTCTCTAAACCCATGGGGCTTTCAAAAATGGAGGGGGAAAAAAAATACATTGAAAAAAACAAACAAAAAAATAGAGAAACGCGACCGAAAATCTGGTGACTGCTCAGAAAACGCATCCTTAAAAACAGCAATAACATTTCCGGATGGTGCTGTGAGCTCAGATTTACTTTCCAGCCTCTTTCCCTGCTTATTTCCTCATCTGCATCTCTGCAAAACGTAAGGACGTGGGGCAAAGAGACCCTCTCGCTGCCGGCGCTGGGGCTGTAGGAGATCACAGACACGTTCACGGAGGCTCCTTGCAACGAAAATTTGACGTAAATCCTCTTTATAGAAGTGAGTTTTTTTTCCCCTGCTTTTTGCTGGGAGACTGTATTAAGAACCTCGCCATTTACAGTGATATTTTTCTGGAGTTAAACCAGCTAAACCTGAAGATAGAGCTGCTTCTTCAGCGCCGTGAGACAGACTGAGGACTGAAGGAAAAAATAAATCAGCACGTCGGCCCTACTGCCCTCTCTCTTTATGAGGCACCCCCTTCATAACAGCTATCAGTATTGTATTTAAATCGTATATATTGACAAAATGTAATCTACCTCTGTAAGCATTGTGCCATTCAACAGTACTACTATTAGATTTATATACCACAGTTTAAATTACATCCATTTCATGAATGGTAAAATGCTAAAACTCAAGTGTCTAACTGCCAAAATACAGCCTTACTGGAATGAGTACAATTTACAAATACAATAATTACATTTTAAAACCATTAACAATGTTACATCTAGAAGTAAATACTGTAGGACTGGTCAAGACGGTGTTTTCCAAGGAAAAAAATTTGCTGAAAGTTTGTCAACACTTCCAACAGAAATGTCCCGAGTGCAGGATTTAGTTCATTTTCCTTAAACTGCAATTAAAACCCGTTCCACGCACAGCAGTCCTTGGGTATTTTCCATATTATTTTCCATAGACTTGCATAAGCTTCCATCAGTTATCGGCCAAGTATTTACCTAGAAATGGGATCAGAAATCAGGGGTGGGGAGGGAGCAGCCCCGATTCCCAGGGGATGGCCGCCCACCTTCCCCAGCCCCTCGGCCACGCTGCTGCCACGCACCAGCAGAATGTGGCAAAATACTCTTTTTTTTCTACTCAGCAATGGGGCAAAAAGGGAAAACACTTGTCTTTCTTTGCTGCAATGGGGTGAAAGCTCTGTCTGGAGATCCCCCCAGGACCCACGAGCAGGAAAGAGCTCGTGAAACGCAAGGCTCACGCTGTGGTGGCACCTCTGGGCTTGAGCAGTCAACAAATACACAACCAGCATGGGGCAGAGGGGACCGTTGGGGACACTGCCATGCCGAGAGGAGCCACCAGCCAGGCACCTACCTGCTGCAAACCTCTTCTTGATGAGGGAGAAGCGGTAGCCGGCGCCGACGAGCTCGATGTCGCAGCTGGAGAGCGTGCTCCCTTCGCTGGTGAACTGGACGGCCAGGGGGGCCGGGGTGCTCGGCCCCTCCGAGAGCTGGAATCGGGCCAGCAGAGAGCCCACACCTGCGATTTAAAAGCACCCCCCCAGCCCCACCAAGAAACCCTTTATAAGCCCGGAGAGGCACGTCCCAGCATCCCTGGGCCAGGGATGCTCAAAGCGCGGCGAGAGAAGCCCACTCCCACGGTGGTACCCAACCCAGCAGCAACCCCCCCCCAGGGAGGGGGGAAAAAAAGCCAAACTCCCTCATCCTCCCAGCAGATTTTAACTTTTCAGGCACCCCAGTGATAGGAAGCGGCTGAGCTGCGTGGGTGATGGGTGGAGAAACCACCCGTGGGAGGCTGCGGTCCCCACCACAGGGATGCAACGTGGGGCCTCCAAATGTCATTTCACAGAATCACAGAATCACAGAAGCTTAGTGGTTGGAAGGGACCTCTGAGATCATCGAGTCCAACCACAAAAAAACCAAAAAAAACCAACAAAACAAAACAAAACCACAAAAAAAAACCAAACCAAAAAACACACCACACCAAACGCCCACCAAAAACACCGCACCCACCAACTAAACCCCACGCTGAACACCTCTCCATAACCAATAACCTTGGGCACTAGAGCATGCCCTGAAGAGCCACGTCTACACGTTTCTTAAATCCCTCCAGGGATGGTGACTCCACCACCTCCCTGGGCAGGCTGTTCCAGTGCCTGACCACTCTCTCAGTAAAGTAATTCTTTCTACTATCTAATCTAAATCTCCCTTGCTGCAGCTTCAGACCATTTCCTCTGGTGCAGAGGGTCAACGGAGGAAAGGGGTTGGCAAACAAACCCCATCCAAACCCGGTGTGTTAACACCCTCTGTGATGCCAAGGTGGTTGGCAAAACGCTGCCAGGAGCACATATCCCTGCTTTTCAAAGCTCCTGGCTCCAAACAGCATCTTCCCCCCGTGTCTGGGCATGACCAAGGAGGGTCAGTGCCCCATTTCAGTGTTCAGAGTTAATAACGTGCACGTTTGGGGGATTACCTCCGTTTTCTGACTTCTGAGAGATATCAGGGATCTTCCACAATATCCTTTGCTGCTCGGCATTCCTAAAAAAAAAAAAAGAAAAACACGGGAAGAAGAACATTTTTGTAGGAAACTGGGAGTTATGAAGGAGACATCTGACATGGGAAGAAGAACATTTCTGTAGGAAACTGGGAGTTATGAAGGAGACATCTGAATTTTGCTAACGGCCGCGTGGGGAGCAGCTCCAGTGCCACTCTCCAGAGCTGTAATTCTGGGAGGCTGGCTTTGGGATTGACCCTGGCAGGAAAATACTGCACTTGGATTGCAGGTATATTATGTATTTATATTTATATTTTATTTATATATATAAAGTGCCTGTCACTATATTGATAAACATTCTTTGGGACCACTCTGGTGGGCGAGAGGCAGTGGGGCCGTGCCGTGCCCTCCTTCCCCGCTGAAAGTGCCTGTCACCATATTGATAAACATTCTTTGGCACCACTCTGGTGGGTGAGGGGCAGCGGGGCCGTGCCGTGCCCTCCTTCCCCGCTGTGATCAGCAGTGATGCCCACACATCCCTCTGGGCATGGGGTTAAAAGTAGCCAAAAACATGAAATAAGGGTCTGTTTTTCTGCCGCCTGCACACGTGCTTGCGTGTGGGAATGGCAAGGGAAAAAAGAAAATAAATCACAGCGGGGTTTCACGCTTCCTCCTGCAAGAAGACGACAGTTTTGGGTCCCTATCATGCCCTCAGATGCCACCCACAGACACCTCCCCAGGGCTGTTTTTAGGCAGGACCAGGGCAGGGCCAGCAAAAGAGGCTTTTATGGGGTGAGGGATTCCTACCAGACAGCGGGAGGAAGCACAGCTTGGAGTTTGGTTACTCCTCCGTCGACGGGGACGAGGAACTGGACGTTGTTTAGAGCGACCGGTGTGGTCATTGCCTCTGTATTGTATTTGTAGTCAATGCGGAGGTCAGTGCTTGCAGGGTCACACCGCCAGCTCACTGCAAGGTTTAATGGAGTAGACTGAATACCCTGGGCAGATACCTTCCAAAATGACAGAAAAAACATTTAGTTTCCGTAGGGGTGAAGGGAGAAATCCCATTTTACAGAACGCGGTCATCGACATTTGGTTTCAGAGGTGACAACATCTCGTACTCTCACAGCAAATTTTGTACCAGGCTCAAAAAAATCAGGCAAAAATCTAGTGACAGGCAGAAGGGACTAGCGGGACAGCATGCCCTCAACTCACGTTATCTCCACTCTGCACTAGGGAAATACCATCTTTTACGTCTATAAGTTCAGCACGCATTTTTTGGCACGGATTTATCTCACCAAAAAAACCCCTACCTGGTATTTGAGCATATCCACATTGTAATAGGTGGCTTGCGGTTTCTGTTCCGATACCTTCTTTAGGTGAGTCATCAGATTTGGCATGTTGACCCAAAACTCCTTCGTGCTGGTGTCACTCTGCGTGTTGTCACTGCACAGAGGGAGAATTAACCCTTCGTGTGACCCACCTGGGTGGAAGAAAGCTTTTCTACAAATCACGCAGGGCAGCGGCACCGGCCACAAGCTGGGACCGTGTTTAATCATAGAGTGGTTTGGGTGGGAAGGGACCATAAAGATCATCAAGTGCCACCCCCTGCCCTGGGCAGGGACACCTCCCACCACACCAGGTTGCTCCAAGCCCCCTCCAACCTGCCCTTGAACCCCTCCAGGGATGGAGCAGCCACAGCTTCTCGGGGCAACCTGGGCCAGGCTCTCACCACCCTCCCACCAAACAAGTTCTTCCCCACATCTCAGCTCCATCTCCCCTCTTTCAGGGTCCAACCCTTCCCCCTCCTCCTAGGGCTCCCCTCCCTCATCCAGAGTCCCTCCCCAGCTTTCCTGGAGCCCCTCTTCTTTTTGGGACTGGAAGGGGCTCCAAGGTCTCCCCGGAGCCTTCTCTTCTCCAGGCTGAACCCCCCCAACTCTCTCAGCCCCCCCTCCCAGCAGAGGGGCTCCAGCCCTCCCAGCATCTCTGTGGTCTCCTCTGGCCCCATCCAACAGCCCCATGTCCTTCTGATGGTGGTGGCCCCAGAGTTTGGGGGTGTCTCCCCAGAGTGGAGCAGAGGGGCAGAATCCCCCCCCAGCCCTGCTGGCCACGCTGCTGGGGATGCAGCCCAGGGTGGGGGGGGGTTTCTGGGCTGAATCCCACATTTAGAGATATCTCACCTCCCTCTTGTTTATCTCTGGCTTGTCCTCGGATACCTCCAGGGAGGCACAGCAGAGGCAAGCCTGGAGGTCACCATTTTGCAACCAGGAGGTCTAACGAGCACCAAACGAGCAAACCCAATCAAGGTGCTGGCTCCTCTCTGCCAATGCCCTTCAGCCTGGCAAAGGGGCTGCTCTCCGAGGCAAATATTTAAGGGCTTGAGAGTTTCCTTCCCAAAAATCTGGGCAGGTTTCCACAGAAGGTACTTCGGGCCGTGTGTTTTGGCGAAACCCCCTGTTTTTCTGGAAATCTTCCTTTGGGATGCGGGTTGGGGGGGAGGGACTTACCAGCAGAGGAGCTGGGGGTTTGGCAGGACGTGCTCCAGCCTGTTGTAGTTCAGCACGCGGAAGGTGAGCACCGCCGGAGCTGGGTTGTTGGCAAAGTGTCGGGTGATGCCCGCAGGGAACGACAGCACCATCTCCCCCGTGATCTTCACGATACACCTGCAGCGCCGGGCACGCAGACCGAGGTGGGGTTGGGGGGAAAAAAAACAGAGGAGGGCTCAAAATGCAGCAGGAGGGGAGGGTTCACGCCAGGGATGGGGTGGTGACAGCCCTCTGTTTCCCACCCGATGTGTCAGGGTGGTCTTCAGCCTGGAGAAGAGGAGGCTCCGGGGAGACCTAATAGCAGCCTTCCAGTACCTGAAGGGAGCCTACAGGAAGGCTGGGGAGAACCTGTTTACAAAGGCCTGCAGTGACAGGACGAGGGGCAATGGCTTCAAGCTGGAGGGGAACAGATTTAGACTGGAGATGAGGAGAGGGTTCTTCACTGGGAGGGTGGTGGAGCACTGGAACAGGTTGCCCAGGGAGGTGGTTGAGGCCCCTTCCCTGGAGATATTCAAGGAGAGGCTCGATGAGGCCCTGGGCAACCTGGTCTAGTTGGGGGTGTCCCTGCTGACTGCGGGGAGGTCGGACTAGATGACCTTTGGAGGTCCCTTCCAGCCTGGGCAATTCTATGATTCTATTCTATGATTCTTGTGGTCCTAAAGCAGAGCGAGCAGCCTGCGAGGGATGGGGACCGATGCTCATGGGGACCAATGCTTATGGGGACATCCCAGAACATCTTGACCTTGGACCCCCACTGGGTACAATGCACTGACACACATGCTGAGCCCAGACCACCTCCTTTCATAGAACCATAGAATGGTTTGGGCTGGAAGAGATCATAGAATCATAGAATCATAGAATGGTTTGGGTTGGAAGGGACCTCAAAGATCATCGAGTTCCAACCCCCCTGCCCTGGGCAGGGACACCTCCCACTAGAGCAGGTTGCTCCAAGCCACATCCAGCCTGGCCTTGAACACTTCCAGGGATGGGGCAGCCACAACTTCTCTGGGCAACCTGTTCCAGTGTCTCACCACCCTCATAGTAAAAAATTTCTTCCTGAGATCTAATCTGAATCTTTTTTCTTCCAGTTTAAAACCATTTCCCCTTGTCCTATCATTACACATCCTGTCAGAGTCCCTCCCCAACTCTTCTATAGGCACCCTTCAGGTATTGAAAGGCCGCTATAAGGTCTCCCCGGAGCCTCCTCTTAAAGATCTTAAGATCTTAAAGATCATCTAGTTCCACCCCCTCTGCCATGGGCAGGGACATCTCTCACTAAACCAGGTTGCTTTCCTCCCTCCCCATCCCTCAAAATGCTCACCAAAGCCTTGACAGCCCCCCCCCAAAACCTGTCCCAACCTCAGAAACCCCCCCCCCATATGGACACTTGGACCTCCTCAGTTGGCACCTACTTGTTGGGGTCGGCCCCTTTGAAGTACGCGTTGACGGTCTCCGTGAAGGCGGCGGCGACGGGCAGGGTGTCCTGGGCCCCCATGGTGAGGGGGCTGGGTCCCCGCGACGAGCCTAAAAACAGAGCAAAAAACCTCCACTTCTTATGTGCAGAGAGAAACGGCACCACTTTCCCCCCCCCCGCCCCGGGCTGGGGCAAGGGGGTGCTCACCAACACCCCCAGCCTTGCTTTAGGGGTAAATATTAAGAAAAAAACTCCCCCCCCGGCTTTAAAAACTTTTTAAAATTAATTATTCCACCCACAAAATGAAATAAAAATAAAGCAAGCAAAGAAAATAAGGGAGGAGCCCCGGCCACGAGCAGCATGCGGGGCAGCAGTGTCCCCCCCCCGGCACGGCTCTGGGGGGGCTGCCACACGGCAGGCTTTGCATGACAGTTTTTGCAGTAGGTTTCTGGGCCCCAGCAAGAGGGGTTTTGGGGGGTCCCTTGGCCAGAGGGAAGGTGGGATTGTTGGAAATGTTCCCACATTGTCCCCTCCGACACCACCTGAACTCCTGCCTGTGGGAACCCTGACCCGAGGGGACCCCTGGGATCAACCCAGGATTTATTATTCAATTAAAAAAAATAAAGGTGTGGGCGGGGTTGAAGCTTTGGTCCCCCACAAAAGCTTCCCCAGGCTCTGAAATAATTCCTCTCTGCGAGTTCAGACGCAGGTTTCCCTTTGCTGGCCAGGAATGCCCGTCTCTGAAAAACATTTGGGGATGAAAGCATCACTGCCAACCCCAGGAAACCCCGCGGGGGGGGACACACACAGTGTCCCACTCCCCGTCCCCAATACCAAGCGGAGAGCGAGCAGGGGGCTGTTGGCACAGCAAAGCTCTCGCATCTCCCTGCCAAAAAAGAGGGTGACCAGAAACACCAGGGTTAGTGGCCAGTTGCCCACCTGGCAAACAAGGTGCCAAGCCCTCGGGCACCCAAAAAAGTCCCTGAGAGGTCACCATCCCCTGCCCTGCCACCACCAGTTCAGCCTCATCTATTTTTCCTGCGACACATCATTCTTATTTTTTTTTAAATCACAGTCCATCCCTAAGGATTATTTTGCCCCCCAAACCACCTGGCAAAGGTCTCCAGAGGGGCAGCAGACCCCGACACCCCCTTACTCTGTTACCTTCATTTACAGGGTGTGAATGAGGGGAGGTGAAACAGGCTCTTAATTCAGCCCAGGGTTTTAATTAGAGCGTGCAAGCGGGTGCCAGCTCCAGCCGAAGCCGTGGCCTGGGGAGGGGCAGCACCTCTGCAGGCAGCGGGGCGAGGGAAAAGCCAAACAGCCGAGCAAAATGCAGCCTGTTTCTGCTGAGTCCCCCTTTTCTGCTTTCCTTATCTTCCAAAATATGCCCCCCCTCCTCTTTATTTGCTGCTTCCTGCCACTTGTTGCATTTTGGGGCAGATCTCAGCAATCTGCGGTGGCTTTTGTGCGACGTGTAGCAAGGTCCTGGCTTTGCTGCTGCAGATTCTCAGAGAGTAAATCATCCAGGTTGGGTGCAGAAAAAAAGATTCACATCATCTCCTGGGGAAAGCACTTCTGTCACTTAAATTACACTTTGCCTTTTGAGATACTAATTGTAGGGGAAAAACTGCAGCGGTCGCAGCTGAAGATCCCTGGCACCTCACAAAAGCATCCTTGCAGGCAGTGCCTTAATGCATCAAACCCAAACTGCTCCCTCCTCGAGGCACCGGGGAGCCTCTCCGGTGCTGGGATTCTCCCTGCAAATGTCTCACGTAGCCTAAAAAGACCTAAAAAAATGACCATTGCCACGCGTCGCCCTCTGAGGAGACTCAGGGGAATCAGTGATTTCAGCCACAGCCTGGAATAACGATGCTCAGTAAGTGCCCCGTGTCCTTCTGTCCCAGCACCAGGGACAGACAGACTGAGCATCTCACCTCCCAGCACAGACCCGTCGCCACATGCATGTTAATTATCCTAATGACCCAGGGGAGGCAGTGGAAGGGTCCCCAAACCTTCTGCTTCTGAGGCCCCAGCCCCGAGCTCTGCAAACAGGTCCCCAGGCCAGTGCTCCACAAAACCCACCCATTCCCACAGCCCTGTGTGACAGAGGGGACATGCAGGGCCCCGGGGCAGCACCACAGAGTGGGAGGGTAACATACTATTTTAATAAATTCGTTCTATTTTAATAAATTCTTTCCATTTTAATAAAGCCCAGCACAGACCCGTCGCCACACGCATGTTAATTACCCTAATGATCCAGGAGAGGCAGTGGGGGGGTCCCCAAACCTTCCGCTTCTGAGGTCCCAGCCCTGAGCTCTGCAGCAGGGACTGGGCAAACTGGTCCCCAGGCCAGTGCTCCCCAAACCCCACCCATTCCCATAGCCCCACTGCGCTGTGTGACAGAGGGGACATGCAGGGCCCCGGGGCAGCACCACAGACTGGGAGGGTAACATATTATTTTAATAAATTCTTTCCATTTTAATAAATTCTTTCCATAGACAGCACTGCTGGGATATCGGAGAGCGCATCCTCGCTCCCCACACCCAGATTAATGACACCCCCTGTCCCCCAGTGTGGCGAATCCAGCCGTGGGATATTCCCATCCCATCCACCCAGAAATACAGATTAAATTCAAAAACATCAATGCAGACTGGCTAGAGAGGGGGGGGGAGAAGTGTAGATACCACCCGGCAGAGGAACACCAGGCTCCTCCTGCTAGGGGAAGGGAGCTGATCATCATCAGCAAACCCTCAATCTTTGGTAATATCATCATTATTTTTTAGGAGAGGGGAAAAAAATAAAACCACCTTCCAAACATACACACTCCAACTACAGCCGGGTTTAGCCTAGACCCTGCACCGCAGCATCGAACGAGGGGGAGGTGTATCACACCAAAGTGCCTTATCCCCGATTTTCACTCTCCCATTTCTTCCAGTGTTTTCTGTACATATCTGAGACTTCATGCTCCAGGAGGAAAAAATCACGCTCACAAGGATAAACCCTATCTCCGTTACCAGGCTCTGCCGGCCTCTGAGATTCTGAGTTAATCCCAACAGCAACACAACATCCTCCGCGTTTCTAATCCCACTTTGAATAAAAATCCCGTGGATGTAGTTGGCATTCAGGGTTCTCAGTTCCCTCTGCTCTTCCCCCATGAATCTATATGTTCTTCTCTTAACGGCTTCAGAGACTAAACAGCTTCTTCACTAAAAACTCTAATGTAACGAGAAGAGTATACTCTCTCTATTTTAAGCCCAAAAATTCTTTTCCAGAAACTTGAGAGACAAGTCTAGTTAAAACACATACTGTGGCACGCCTCCACCAAAAATCTGGCTTTCCAGTGACTGCCTCAGAAGTCATTTTTAGAAACTTCTCATTTTGGCAAAATGACCTGATAACGCCGGGGAAAAAAATTCCCCTTTATGGAGCTTTGGATCCAGCCATAAGCAGCGCCCTGGGTTCATTTCCCTTACTTTTTTCCTACGAAAAGATGGAAAAGGAGCACAGAACACCAGTGACCTTGCCCGTGCACCCAGGAGAGCATCACCAAAGCTGCACCACGTCCTTTCACACACACACCGACTACCCCGCGTTCTGCCAACATGTGGAACTTCACAAAAGAAGAGAAAAAACCCAAATTCAGAAAGAAAAGATAATTTCTCTCCTAGCATTTCATGCCCTGAGTTACAGAAGCCACACTCAGCCGATCTCCTTTCTCAAGATGAACATTGAAGTTTAGCTTTTTTTTTTTTTAAAGTTGGACTCAAAGATTTAGGGCTAGATGAGGAAATCCAGCCTGTGGATGTGAAATAGCTCCTTCCTGGGCTGTGAGAAGAGCCTGGAGCTGGTGTCACACTCCTGCAGCCCTGATGCCATGCCATCCAACGCTTCCCACACTGCTACAGGGCTCAGCCAGGGAGCTGGGGACAAACCTCCCCCTGCTCCAGCCCATTCCCACCACCAGAACGAAGTCTAAGAATTCAAATGTACCTTTCAAACACATTAATAATGCAAAAACTGCAAGAAAATCCCCGAACACTAGACGTGCTGGTGCTAAACCGAGCGAGGAGGAAGCAGCTCCTCCATGGTCCCCTCCCAGGTCTAAGCCATCAGAATGAGGACAATCGGAATGAGGACCATCAGAACAAGGATCATCAGAGCAGGGACCTCAGGGCTCGGGACCTGCAGCCGATTAAAAGGCAAGAAGGAGAGAAAGAAGAAACCAGCCCCTCCCCGGTCACCACCACTTCCATCCTTGCTGTCCTGGTTTGAGTGCCACAGGACTGATTTACCTTCCAATACCTGGGAAAACTGCACCTTTGGAAGACTCCAGTGTCTGAACTTGTGAAAATATTTACTTTACAGCCAGCTCTGGAGTGTGGGTTTCAAAGTCTTAGGGTTTTTGAGGTCATCAAGTGTGGGGATGAGGAGGAGCGAGACCCGGGCACTTGCCCCAAGCTGCCAACGGGGTTATTTCATACCATGAATGGCACCGTCCAGAGAAATTAGACAGTTTGCTGAGGAGTTCTCTCTCTCTCTCTCTCTCTCTCTGTCTCTCCCTGGATGGCTGGGACCCTGAGCACCCCCTGCCCCGGAGCCCTGAGCCCTTCCCTCCCTCCCGAAGCCGCAGCGCTCGCAGGGTCCCACACGGGCTGTCCCTGCGGGGAGGGCACGGCTTCTGCTGGGGAATGGGCTGGGGACGGGCCTGGGGGGTTTGATATCCATATCGGGATCAATACTGGTTCTTTAGTGTTATTAATGTTAATTATCTAGTCTTATTCTATTAAATCTGCTTCTATTTCAACCCTTGGGTTTCCTTGTTTTTCCACGATTCCCCTTCCCAGGTGGGGAGGGCTCATCAGGTGAAAGAATAATTGTCCAAACGACAACAAACTGTTGTGGATTCCTCAAACCATGACACTTGCCTTCTGCTGCCACCACGGCCTCACGCTCACCGAAGCAGGGCCGGCTCCATAAACACAAGCACCCGGTGCTTGGTGGCCGGGTGGCCCAGTCCCGGGCCACCAGGCTGTTTGCTGGAGGGGACAGGATTTATGGATGGCACGTTTGGAGAGCGAGCCCCAGGGGAACCGTGCTCCCCTCAGCCCCGAGCCAGCAGCATCCCCAGCTGTCCCCAGCCCAGCTCTGCCTCCCGAGCACCACAGCAGCTTCCAAGCAGGTTGTAAAGCACCTCTTCCTGCTGCAAGCAAACCTCCCCGCTTCGCTTTTGGCTTTTTTTCAAAGAAAAATATAGGCACAGTGTCCAAGATGAGGCTTCCTCTGAAGCCTCAGGGCTCTCAGAGTATGGTTGGCCGCCCATCACCCCTGTCTCTGCCCTCCCCGAGATGTGCTGCTGCTCAGAAGAGCTACCATCCACCCCAAAACACACTCCCCCCCACCCTGAATCCTCCCCGATGCCCCTTCTCATCAACGAGGGACCCCAAAACCCGCAGCGCCTCCGACCACCGCACCCCGGTGGCATTTTGGCTATAAATGCTGGCACTGCCCACCCCCCCGCCGCCGAAAAATGCAAGGGGAGGTGGGGAAGGATGCCCCAGCTCAGCAGAGAACCCATCACCCTTTGTTTTTTAATTAACCTGCCCTGTGGCACAGCCCGCTCAGGCTAACGAGCAGCTCGCAAGGGGGAGCAGAAAGAAGCCCTGGTTGACAGAGTCAAGTTCCTCAGCAGTGCAAGCGGTTTCGCTCTCTGGTGTCCACCACAGCCTCGGGAGGAGAAGATTCTTTGGGGTTTTGGTTTGGTCGAGGTTTGTTGTGGGTTTTGTTTGGGGTTTTTTGTTGTTTTTTTGGGTTTTTTTTAAATAAACAAACAGGGAAACGGATCACGGGGACGAATGGCACAAATCAAATCCAAATCATTCCGGTCGAACTTGCGATGTCATCTAAGTAGCCATAGCGTTTCATAGCAGGGGAAGCCAGACTGGAGCCTTTTTTTTTTTGGTTTTTTTTGGAGGAAACCCCGGGAGTCAGAGAGCAAAGAGCGAGGGGAGCAAGTCGTTACCGGGTTTGCTATGCGCTACTTACCTTCGAAAGTCAAATAAAACTTTCCTCTGTCAAACCAAACGAGGGAAGGCTGTTCATTCTCTGTATGGCCAGGAGTTGAAGCGGGATGGGAAAGGTTAAGGAAGAGGGAGAGAGAAGGACACAGTGTGAGTCACAGAGCAGGTCATTTATCTCGCTACGGGGAGGGGACGAGGCGCTGCGAAGCTGTTCACGTGCAAGGAGAAAGGGGGGGGGGGAGGGGGGGGGGTTTTGGCTTAGGAAACAGAAAGCAGAAAGCAAAGCTATGGAAGCCCAGATGGAAGAGTATTTTTGAGGAATTTTTTTTTGGGGGGGGATATTATTTTTCTTTTTTTTTGGTCTAGAGTAGAAGAGGCTCCTCGGGCCACGCGCTCCTCCAGCATGTTCTAACTGCACTGATTGGGGCATCGTCTCCTCTTCGCCCCTGGTGATGTCCCTGCTGTGCCACGATGAGCGTGTCCCCGGGGGGATGCTGCCCCCCCCAGCATCCCACACCCGGCGTGCAAAAAATCAGTGCCAGCCCTGAGCCCCGAGTGTATTCACTGCTGCGTTTGGTCAGGACACAAACAGACAGAGGCACACAGAGCAGGAGATCCTCCCTCTCCCAGTACAACCACAGCTCCCTGCGCTCACACCGCCTCCAAAGCCACTTAGACACCAGGCACTGAGGAAATAACTAGGGGGAAAAGGGGTGTGGGGGCGGAAAAAATGGCTTTTTTTGAGCTGTTGAATCCACCCTTTTGGGTTTGGAGGTGATGAGCCTTTCACCTCGCGGTCCTTTTCGCCACTGAGAAACTGTCATGCAAGGTGCTGCGAGGGGTGGGTGCCGGGGGTCGGGGCACTCGGGGTGCCCCCAACCCCCCCGCTGCCCAGCCACAGAAAGAAAAAGGGTCTGGAGAAGGCCCCTGGTTAGTACAGTACCTGCCGGCGTCTCACAGCGCCTTTCAAACGCGGGCAGTTTGTCAACAAAAGCATCATCTTCTGATAACACAAAGCAGAAGAAACGCCAAGGAGAAGAAAAGAAAAAGAATGAAAACACGACTCCCAAAGGAAACCGAGCAGCGTCGCTGTGTCAACGGAAAATAAAAAAAAATACAAAATAAAAAGACAGAGAAGGGTTTTAACGAGGAAAAATAAGGGGAGGGGCGCTGACACAGAAATAACAGCTTCTTTCTTTACAATAAATTATTCAGACTGCACATGCAACCACAAGGAAAGCCAACCAGACCAGCACGGAGGACAAATAAATCACTTTTCCACATGCTCTTGGACAAACTCCGTCGGACTTTGCCACAGGAGACAGGAGAGACGGGGAGCGTGGTGGAGACAGACAAGGGTCGTGGGTGGGTGTCCCAGCCCTGTGCCGGTCCCGTGGGTCCCCTGGTGGTCCCCAACCCGCTGCTGTACCCCTAGACCTGCCCTCTCCCCCCCCCCTCTGCCCTGGCACACCTTTCACCTCTGTTTTTCCTACAGCTGCAGGACAAACCCAGGAATTAGAAGTGCTCCCTTCTCTGAGATGAGGTTGCAGCCTGGTGATGCTTTGCCCAGCACTGGTGGCCACCATCACCCTGCCCAACAGGGAGATGCTTGGGCATCCCAAACCCTCCTCTGCCCCTGCCCCCCCACCCCAAGCCAGCTTTTCCCAGGCCAAATCCTGGCAACGTAGCACCCACTGCTCAGTTTACATGGATCTGGAAGTGCAAAGCCTGCAATCCCTACAAAATCCCATTCCCCTGCCCAGAGGTGGCCCAAGAGCCCTGCTTTCCACTCTCTTTCAAGGAAAGCCCCCATGGAGAGGGTGGCAGCCACTGGGACCAGTGGGCACAGCTTCTCATCACCCCCCCTCAGCCACCTCAGCCCCGCTGCTCAGGGTGGGTAGGTCATTAAAAACATCAAGCAGCAATTTGTCTTCGCTGAAATAACCACCTGTTAGAGAGGAAAAAAGATAAATTTTAAACCAAGAGCCTATGGGAGCCATCACCTGCTCAACCCTCAGGACCAGCACGCAGCCCCTGGTTCATAGCCACTTCTCCTGACCTCCTGAAGCCCCCATGACCATCCCTGTCCTCATCCTGGCTGCTTCCCTCCACCAAAACCCTGTTCACCACCGGTGCCCCGTGGCCACCGTGCCCACAGGCACTGGCCAAAGCCACCACCAGTGCCTGGTTGCCAGAGCTGCAGGACAGCGGGCACAGACAGGACCGACAGCCAACACAGCGGGGATGCTCGGGGCTGGCCAGCCCCTTGCTTAAAATACATATTGTTTTGGTTTTTTGGGGTGTTTGTTTTTCCAGCAGCAGCATGCCGTGACGGTGACGAACAGCCGGCGAACAGGTACAAGCATCTACGACACCTCCAGAGAGAAGCCAACAACAGGATGGAGACGCAGGTGGGAGACTCCAGCAAAACCTACTGGGGGGAGGGTTTGGGTGGGCACACGTGGCCACCAGCACCATGGGGGACGGCACCCACTGCCCCCCATCCTCTTCCAGCCATCAAAGATGGGGCTGGGGTGGCGATGCTGCTGCCACCGCCGCCTGAGGTGACCACAGCCAGGAGGAAGGTGGCCGAGAAGACAGGAACACCAGCCAGGTTTGGTTTTTTTGGGAGTGCTGGGGTTGCAGCTCGCTCCGCAGAGCCCATCTGCCAGCCCCACGGCAGCCAAAGCTCCTTCCCCGCCACGCAACCCGGGCGTGCTCAGCCCAAAAAGAAATAAAAAACACGGAAAAAGAAAAAAAGAAAAAAGGAGGAGGGACGTTCCTGGTAGGAGATGGAAGTGCAGGGAGAAAGGGACGGTGGGGCCAGGTGGGATGACAGGGAGGGATGGAAAGAGCGCCGGCAGCCGGGACAGAGGGGACAGAAGGGATGGAGAGGGGATGGAGATGGAAGGAGCGCCGGCAGCCGGGACAGAAGGGACGGAGAGGGGACGGAGGAGGGAGGACAAGGGGGGGACCCAGCTGGTAGAGCCTGGGAGCTGCCAGCCAGACTTGATTTGCATTTCTCATCTCAGGCCCTGGCGGGGGGGAGAGGGGAGGAGTTTGGCAAACCCCATGTTTTTCAGGACATTCCTCCAAAAGAAAACTGCAGCACTTTGTTCTGGTCTAGGACGCGTTAAGCTGAGGGTTTGGAAGAGCCTTTTCCAAGACCCCGCTTCCACTTCAAGGGAAAGTATGAATTTAAGACATTCAAAGAGATATAATATTAGTTGCCTCCTGGATCCAAAGGTCTGGCTTCCAGCCCCCCTCCCCTCCAGGGTACAAGCATCCCTTGCAAAAAAAAGCTTATTTTGACCAAATTTACAGACCGTGAGCAAGTTTTATGTTCCATTTCACTTAGGGATAACCTCTACCTTCACCAGACATTCGTTGTTCCCAACATTGGGAGCTGCTGCCAAGACAGCTCCCCGAGCAGCATCCTGTTCGTGGGCCATCACCCCCCTCCTCAAACCCCTTTTTGCCTTTGAAAACCTGATGAAAATTAACGAACGTGAACCCGGAGACCAATCAAAGGCAAAGGTTTGAGGAATCTTTTTTTTCAGAGGACGCTGGGAGGTAGGAAAGGTGAAAGAACAGCAGTGCTGTATGTTTTTACCAACGGTGGGAGTGGTGGCTGCACTCAGGGAATTGGTGGAAGATATGGAAGAAGTACTTTCAGCACGGGCTAAAGGTGCTATCGGAGGAGGGCTGGATGAGTGAATAGGAGGGCTAAAAGGCCTGGACTGTAGAAAAACATAAAATAACAAAAGGTTAAAGAAAATAAGCACAGCGACATTTGCATCAAACAAACAGAAGCTTTTGCCCGAAGCCGTAACACTCTGTAGAACAATTTTGGTTCTTTTAATGCCAAGGGTGTTCTAGTCTGGACCGAAAAGTATGGCAGATGATTCCCACCATCTCGAGGGTCTGGGCATTTGAAATCCCCGTCCCCACCAAGGGTGGGAGCTCCAGGGGCCACGGGATGGATTTAACACACCCGGCATCAGGAAGGGAATGGTGCCCACCACGTGCCAGCTCAGTTCACTGGGTCCTTATAGATCCTTCAGGGATAATATGGATGCTTTGGGGAAAAGAGGTTTCCCAGAGAGGTGCCCCAGAGGATGCCCCATCCCTGGAAACATCCAAGGAGAGGGCTCTGAGCAACCCTCAGAAGAAGCTGAGACTGCTCCATCCCTGGAGGAGTTCAGGGCCAGGATGGATGAGGCTTGGAGCAACCTGCTCTGGTGGGAGGTGTCCCTGCCCAGGGCAGGCGAGTCAGAACTAGATGGCCTTTAAGGTCCCTTCAGACCCAAACTCTTGTAGGATTCTATAACTTTATATCCATAACATCAATACAAAAATTCTCCACAACTTACCTGAAGGACGTGGGACACCTCCCATCTCAACGCCCTTCCCAGGACAGACCCCCACCACTTTACCCTGGGGGGCCGGGCACGGTCAGACCCTCCCCACCTTTTTTACACCCATTTTCTGCCTTTGCTATAATAACAAACCACCGCTTGCTATTTTTCCAGGTGTAATTTGTGAACAAACTGTAGAAAACTCTGGTTACTCGCCCTTAATGACTTGCTCTGCTCCATTAATCCATCCCACCAGGCTGCACAAATGCAGACCCCGACCCCCCCATGCACAGACCCCCCCACACACCACGCTCCCACGGATGAACATACCACGTCGGCGACGGTGGGCTTGCCGGGGGGCAGCTTGGGCCGGGAGGGTGGCCGGGGGGGTGGTGGTGGTGGGGTGCCACATGCGGCCAGCGGCGTGCCGGGACGAGCTGGGGAGGAGGAACCTGCAAAAAAACCAGGAACCATCAGCACATCACAGGTTGGTCCCCACGGCTGTCCCCCCCCAGACCCCCCTCTGGAAGCAAAGTCTTCTCCCCGAGGAGCCTGGTGGCCACGCACACCCTGCACAAGGTCTCCTTGGTCATTGCTCCACACCGGCCGCGTTGCACGGGAGAAGAGTTTTTTGGGGATTGCCAATGCTCGGTATACCTGGCTCCCCCCTCAACATTGTTATTGGAGGAATCTCACAGTTTTATCTAAAATCCAGCAACGTGGGCAGGTGAAAAATGATGTGCTGAGAAGGAGTTGAAGCCCTGCAGCACCTGGGGCTGATGCCACAGGTCCTCGAGCATCACGGCTGGCCAGGAGGGTTGGTCCCCGTGGTGGGAATGAGGGGTCCCAGCAAGAGGGGCAAAGCTTTGTTGGAGCAAAGCAGAGGAAGGGTGGAAAAACAAGGTTATCTGGTTCTCTGGGAGCACCAAGCCTTTCCCAACCCTCTGGAAGAGTTTCAGAGAACTTCCCTTGGAGTTCACATGTCCCCATCAGCTGCTGCCTTGCTGCAAAGGAGGACTTCTTGCAATTAAATAGGAAATTTTACAGATACTTAAGAGGAGACTCAGCAGAATATTTTCTTCCACGTACAGCAATTCCTTCTGGGGTAATTGGAGCTGTACAGAGCAGTCTGAGAGATTGCACCAAGACAAGAGGGATGGCAGGAGCAGGGGGGGGCTACAGACCCCCTTGAGCAAACACACACAGCCCCCGTGGAGCACAGCAGAGCACTGTGATCTGCAGAGCAGAGTGCTTTGCTCCAAGGGACCATAAGGTGACGTCTCTAGCTTTATTTTTCCCCTGCTTACAAGAGAATCAGCTACCTCAGGTTTTTGGGTAATAGCTCAGACTAAGGGAATTCCAACACTAGATCTACAGAAACGAGAGGGAGAGGTAAATGACCGAAGGCTAACATGAGAGATGGGCTGGTTTCAAGAGAGTAAATCCCAGCTGTTCATTTGCACAACTCCAAAATTTAAGCCATTTTTATTTAGAAGCCTAATTTGGGGAACCAAAGTTTGAATTTTTCCCTTCCTTATCCCAATAAAAGCCTGACAAAACAGGAATTTTTCAGGGAAAGTGAGCCAGCAGCACTGAACGAGTGGTACAAGGCAGAGATTTCGAAAGTGCATTTTGCCCCAGTTGAGTAGTGGCCAGCACCTGGCCAAAGCCCTGCCAGACACCAGCTTTCAGCCAAGAAGGTTTAATCTTCAGGCATCTGAGGTACCTTTAGGTATCTTCTATGGCAAGAAACTGTGGCAGCAAGCTGTAAATCAGCACGCAGTCAGGATGCTGCTGGGATGCTGGTCCCCAGCCCCACCACCTTGGTGGCACCCAGGAACCCAGGCTCCCATGGGATGGGATGGCAGGAGGGTGTCCAGGGATGACTCTGCCCCACGGCATCCCAAAAACGGTCACCCACAGGGGCCAGCTGCAGCAAGGGGGGCCCTCAGAACAAATGGAGAGGGTGGGGGTGGGAAGGGTGTAGGATCCTCATCACCCACCCATGGGATGTATGTGATTTTTATGTGCGTATTTCAACACTCTGCATTTTCACAGCTCGTCCCCCCACACTGGGCTGGGTGAGGCTGAGGTGCTTAGGGGGCTGCAACACAGGAGATGATTTCTGGGGAAGAGATGTGGATCTTCCCAAGCAGACAGCACTGCCCCAGGAACCTGGCTCCATCCAGCCCCTGACTCCTCTCAGTGGGGTTTCTCCATCCATCCCCACGTGCAGCCACCGGCAGGTCCCCATCCTGCAGATCTCTGCTCACACAAAGCCCTTGTGGAGAGCAAGTCGTGGTGGAGAGCAGTGTAGTAACAAACTTGAGGTTTCCTGCTGCTGATGGCCCAGAAAAGTTCCCAGTTCTGACCAGTGCCACCAGGGTCTGGATGCTGCAGCCCCCAGCAACCGGCCCAGCACAGACCCCAACCCATCCAACCCCACAGCCGGCACAGAAAAGCCACCACCACGGAAGCAAAGCCACAGTTGAAGCAACAGCCACGCTTGGGGGGACACCCCCAGCAGCCCCACACACCCCCCCAGAGGGGGCAAACCCCCCAAAGCAGAGGACACGGCTCTCAAGCTCACATAAGGCTGGTGACAGTGGTTGGGCACCCACCGCACCCATCATCTCCCTGCAGGGGTGGAGGCTCCTGCAAGGCTCCGTGGGGGTAATCATCTCAAAAATAATCTCTGGTGGGTGCAGGATGGCAGCACGGTGGCTGGTGGGGACATGGACTTGCACGTCGTAGCTGCACTGGTACAATAAGTACCCTTGGGTCAGCCTCTAAAATAACATGATCAGGTTGCATCTTCTCAAACACCACGGGAGAGCTTGTGTAAGCTGACCTCCGCCCAGCTCGTTTGCCCTAATGGGCACACCGGCATTTATAATTAAGCAGGTGAAGCCAGGCAGGCAGCACGTGCCAGACAAACCTATCAAACCTATGGGGTTCTGCCCTTGGTGAGAGGTTTCTCCAGCCCCAGCTGGGCCTCCACGCTCTCACAGACCCGTGCCACCTCAGAGCTGAGAGTTAGGTGGTGACATTATGTGGTGACCTGTCTGCAACAGCTTCAAACCCCTGCCCACGTCTCAGATTATTTGCCCAAAATGTTTCCACCTGCGTTCACTCTGAAGCCTACTGAGGACACAGCTGCAGTCAGTGGCAACCCTAGGGCCCACCTCGTGGCGGGGTGCGTAGAGGTGGGAAGGGAGGCTGAGGGGAGCTTGAGGGGGACCCATCCGACCAGCAGACACGCAGCAGGGAGCGGAGAGGGGGAGGAGAGGACACAGGAGGCTGAGGGCAGACGCTGGACGTGGAAGCAGGAGATGACCGGGCAGGAAGGCGGGCGCCGGGCACAGGCACAACCGGGTGGGAGGGGACGGCGGATGCGGTCACGGCCACACCGAAGCACACCCAACGCCGCGGGACGTACCGCTGGTGCTTCCCGTGCCGCTGCTGGCCCCCGGTCCGGGTGAGGAGACCACCGTGCGGTAGGTGGGTGGCGGAGGGGGCGGCGGGGTGGCTCTTTGTCCCAGCCCAAAATCTTTGGGAGAGGCGACCGGCTCCGCATTATCATCCTTAAGGTGGGACGGCTCAGAAACCTTCTTGGGAACCTCTTCCAGGTGGAGCGGCGAGGGGAGCGGGCGGGAGGGCTCGGCCGGCGCCGCGTCGGCCGGGTTGCCCGCTGCCACCGGTGGAGACCCCGTTTTTTCCCGGGCTGGCAACTCCGGAGTGGCGTTTTCCGGGGATTGATCGGAAAAATTGACCCATTTAACTTCTGCGTTAGCAGCAGTAGACTTGGGGGAGAGCACGGGGCCAAAAATGCTGTCCACGTCATTGATGGACGGAAGTTTGTCCCGTTTGGGCTCTGCTGCTGGCTGGTCCCCTCCTGCGGTCAAAGCAGTTTATTTCACACTTAGCATTCACCCGGAGAGCTGCGGCCACCACTATTCTCTACGGGGCTCTACGCCGGCTACTTTCTGCTTTAAAAAGCCAAAATCTTTTCTTATAAAGCTGCCGGGGAATATAATTCATGTGCGAGGGAGCTTCTACGCCAGGATCACGTGCGATGAACCGGTTGAAATACATACAGCACGGGAGGGAGAGCATGCACCACCAGCCAAACCCTCCTCCTCCTCCATCACCTCCCACGCAAAGGTCCCCCCAGCCTCCCCCAAATCTACAGCTGACTCCCAGCCTCCCTTACAGATTGCCAAAATAGCAACATTATGTCATTATCATCACTCTGAATTATCGAATTATCAGTAGATAATAAAATTACACGCTCTGCCCACCAACCTAAAGCACTCTTGTCCACTCCGCTATATATATATATATAAAAATATATATATTTAAACATGCTGGTTTGGCACTCACACACTGGCACTGGGCATGCAGTACAGGGAAGCAGACAAGGGGGTATGTATTTCAGTTGCAAGCAGCAGCAGATAAAAGTCATTTAGGGTTCTACTCACTAATTGAGCTACCACACTTCAATGCCCATATCTGACTCCATCACCAACACGGAGACGGGACCCATCAGCAAAATGTGACTCATCCAGAGGAGGGAGATCCTCCATCCTCCCTCTCCTGCCCTGTTTCCTCGCATTTCTCTTCCCCCCCCCAGCCCCTGCTCCTTCCAAGCTCATTCTGCTAAAACTAATGTGCCCCCCCGGGGCTCCTCATGTCACGTCCCACCCCGGCTCCTGTGCTCAGGGGAGCCATCTGTTCTTCTACTGTTAGGGAATAAAATACACTTTTGCTGAAACAGGGAAGAAAAAAAAATAAATAAAAAAAAAATAGGTCTCTGCCACTTGCTTTACTGAAGCGTGCAGCCAGCCAGACCCCAGCAAATCACAGAATCTTCGTGGTTGGAAGGGACCTTTGAGATCATGGAGTCCAACCACACACACAAAAAAAAACCCCAAAAAGCAAATAAAGCCTCACAACACACAGCTGGGCACTGCGTTTGCTGGTGTTGATGAATCTAGGCGTGTAGGTGGACACCCTACCAGTCTGGCTGCTTCCATCAATAGAAAAAAAATCAGGATAGGGGAGCATGAATGAAATACTGATGGATGGAGCAGTAAGCTCAGCGCGGGGGGTTTCTCCGTGGCGATGTTAATAGCACCCCGAGGTGTGTGTGGGGGTGTGTTGGGGGGTGTGTGTGTCCATACAGTGCCCTGTCCAAAGACAGCGACCACCCCTCTGTCCCCCCAGCAGACAGCACCCACCAGCAACATGAATTATATGCTCATAAGCACTTTCAAGTCCCTTCCTTTACTCCAGGTACCATTCAATTCTCCCTCCCCTCCACTTCCCCCCAGCTGCCAGCCCCATCCGCAGAACTGGGGGGCTTTTCCCACCCTCCCATGGCAGCAGCAGGAACTGGGGAGGGCAGGAGCAGCCCCCCCGACCCAGCCAGGAGCCACACACCCCCTTATTTCATAAGTAGCACTGCTCCAGGCAGTAACAACGCTCCAATTATTCCAAATTTTGAGCCGGACTTTAAGGCTAGCGTCGCTTTTCGTGTCTAAAAGTGACCAATACCAAAGGGGGGGGGGGGAAGGTCTTTGGGAGAGGCGACCGGCTCCGCATTATCATCCTTAAGGTGGGACGGCTCAGAAACCTTCTTGGGAACCTCTTCCAGGTGGAGCGGCGAGGGGAGCGGGCGGGAGGGCTCGGCCGGCGCCGCGTCGGCCGGGTTGCCCGCTGCCACCGGTGGAGACCCCGTTTTTTCCCGGGCTGGCAACTCCGGAGTGGCGTTTTCCGGGGATTGATCGGAAAAATTGACCCATTTAACTTCTGCGTTAGCAGCAGTAGACTTGGGGGAGAGCACGGGGCCAAAAATGCTGTCCACGTCATTGATGGACGGAAGTTTGTCCCGTTTGGGCTCTGCTGCTGGCTGGTCCCCTCCTGCGGTCAAAGCAGTTTATTTCACACTTAGCATTCACCCGGAGAGCTGCGGCCACCACTATTCTCTACGGGGCTCTACGCCGGCTACTTTCTGCTTTAAAAAGCCAAAATCTTTTCTTATAAAGCTGCCGGGGAATATAATTCATGTGCGAGGGAGCTTCTACGCCAGGATCACGTGCGATGAACCGGTTGAAATACATACAGCACGGGAGGGAGAGCATGCACCACCAGCCAAACCCTCTTCCTCCTCCATCACCTCCCACGCAAAGGTCCCCCCAGCCTCCCCCAAATCTACAGCTGACTCCCAGCCTCCCTTACAGATTGCCAAAATAGCAACATTATGTCATTATCATCACTCTGAATTATCGAATTATCAGTAGATAATAAAATTACACGCTCTGCCCACCAACCTAAAGCACTCTTGCCCACTCCACTATAAATATATATATTTATATATATATATATATAAACATGCTGGTTTGGCACTCGCACACTGGCACTGGGCATGCAGTACAGGGAAGCAGACAAGGGGGTATGTATTTCAGTTGCAAGCAGCAGCAGATAAAAGTCATTTAGGGTTCTACTCACTAATTGAGCTACCACACTTCAATGCCCATATCTGACTCCATCACCAACACGGAGACGGGACCCATCAGCAAAATGTGACTCATCCAGAGGAGGGAGATCCTCCATCCTCCCTCTCCTGCCCTGTTTCCTCGCATTTCTCTTCCCCCCCCCAGCCCCTGCTCCTTCCAAGCTCATTCTGCTAAAACTAATGTGCCCCCCCGGGGCTCCTCATGTCACGTCCCACCCCGGCTCCTGCGCTCGGGGGAGCCATCTGTGCTTCTACAGTTAGGGAATAAAATACAGTTTTGCTGAAACAGGGAAGAAAAAAAAATAAATAAAAAAAATTAGGTCTCTGCCACTTGCTTTACTGAAGCGTGCAGCCAGCCAGACCCCAGCAAATCACAGAATCTTCGTGGTTGGAAGGGACCTTTGAGATCATGGAGTCCAACCACACACACAAAAAAAAACCCCAAAAAGCAAATAAAGCCTCACAACACACAGCTGGGCACTGCGTTTGCTGGTGTTGATGAATCTAGGCGTGTAGGTGGACACCCTGCCAGTCTGGCTGCTTCCATCAATAGAAAAAAAATCAGGATAGGGGAGCATGAATGAAATACTGATGGATGGAGCAGTAAGCTCAGCGCGGGGGATTTCTCCGTGGTGATGTTAATAGCACCCTGAGGTAGGTGTGTGTGTGTGTGTGTGTGTGTGTCCATACAGTGCCCTGTCCAAAGACAGCGACCACCCCTCTGTCCCCCCAGCAGACAGCACCCACCAGCAACATGAATTATATGCTCATAAGCACTTTCAAGTCCCTTCCTTTACTCCAGGTACCATTCAATTCTCCCTCCCCTCCACTTCCCCCCAGCTGCCAGCCCCATCCGCAGAACTGGGGGGCTTTTCCCACCCTCCCATGGCAGCAGCAGGAACTGGGGAGGGCAGGAGCAGCCCCCCCGACCCAGCCAGGAGCCACACACCCCCTTATTTCATAAGTAGCACTGCTCCAGGCAGTAACAACGCTCCAATTATTCCAAATTTTGAGCCGGACTTTAAGGATAGCGTCACTTTTCATGTCTAAAAGTGATCAATATCAAAGGGGGGGGGAAAGAGGGGGCACTAATTTACTAATTTCAGCAGGGTGATGCTGACTGGGGAGTCAAAGGCATCTTTGCACCGCTCGAGAAGCATCACCCCGACCACAGCATCCTCTGAAGCGCCGCAAACGCAAAGGGAAGAGGATGCCCAAGGGACAAATCTGTGTTCAAAATGCAGTCACAGGGACCTGACCCCCCACTCCCTCCCAGCACAGCCCCCCCAAAGGGTCTGGATTGCTCTACTGGGGCTGGGTGAGGGTCCCTGGTGCTGAGGTTTTACCTATTGCCACCGTCAGAGGGGAGCCGGTGCGCGGCGGCGTGGCCGGGATGTTCTTCGGTGGGAGCGGCGGAGGGGCTGCAAAACACAGCAGAGGGGGAGAAAATAAATAAATAATAATAATATAACATGAAAAAAAAAATTAAATCCATGGTGGTGCATTAGGAAATCTGTGTCTGAAATGCAGCCACAGGGATGCGACCCCCCCTCCTCCTCCCAGCACAGCCCCCCCAAAGGGTCTGGATTGCTCTACTGGGGCTGGGTGAGGGTCCCTGGTGCTGAGCTTTTACCTATTGCCACCGTCAGAGGGGAGCCGGTGCGCGGCGGCGTGGCCGGGATGTTCTTCGGTGGGAGCGGCGGAGGGGCTGCAGAACAGAGCAGAGGGGGAGAAAACAAATAAAAAATAATAATATAACATGAAAAAAAAAATTTAAATCCATGGTGCTGCATTAGGAAACCCCCCTGGTTTGTTGGGATGCGGCAGCATGTGGCCCAGGGATGGTTGCTGACCCAGGAACATCCCCGCAGCCCAGGGGTTTATGGTGTTTTGTTGAGTGAAAAGCAATTGTCAGTGGCCTTTTTTGTTGGGTTTTATGGTTTTGGTTTTTTTTTTCTGGTGGTGTTATTATTATTTTAGATTGTCCCCATGTTTTAACAACCTGAATTACCATTTTAATTAAAACCTGTAGCCTCCGAGGCACATATCTGCCTCCTCATTCCTCACGTGCCCATCCCGCACGGATCCGGGAGGAGTGCCGTGGTTAATTAACCCAGCACTGATTTACAGGGGCTTTTTTTTTTTTTTTTGCAAAGCAGATATAAATAACATCCAAGGCTGAACCTCCTGGAGGAGGCACCATGGCTGCAGCCATCATTTCCATCACGGGTGTCACCATCCCCTTGTGAGCTCCTGATGTGGCCAGAGGTGGCCTTGGGACATCGGCACCGGCAATGGACCACCATCAGCAGCACCAGGGCTGGGGGTGGGTTTGGCATCAAATAGGTTGTGCTAATGGCTACTGAGGGGGAAAAGGAGCAGAGGAAAGAATGGCTTTGTCAGTAGGGAGGAGGAAAGGACGCGGTTCCCCTGACTGCCCCAGGCAATGGGGAAAGCTGCATGGAAAAGCAGGGATTTGGGGCTGTGTTGCCCTTCCTTGCATTAGCCCAGAGAAAGTGGTGCTTCTGACTTTCCCAGCCAAATAACCGTGTCATTAACATGAGCAATCAGGAATTCCTTGCCTCCAAGGGCAGGTGGGTTTAACCACTGGTTCCATACAAGCCATTTGCTCCAACCAGAGGATGCACATCATCTCTCCCACCCTGGATACCATCCACCCCATCCCTTATCAGCCCCTGGGTACCCATCCACCCCATCCCATCCCTTATCAGCCCCTGGGTACCCATCCATCCCATCCCATCCCTTATCAGCCCCTGGGTACCATCCACCCTACCCCATTGCATTCCTTATCAGCCCCTGGGTACCATCCACCCTGTCCCTATCAGCCCCTGGGTACCCATCCACGCTGTCCCATCCCATCCCTTATCAGCCCCTGGGTACCCATCCATCCCATCCCATCCCTTATCAGCCCCTGGGTACCCATCCATCCCATCCCATCCCTTATCAGCCCCTGGGTACCATCCACCCTACCCCATTGCATTCCTTATCAGCCCCTGGGTACCATCCACCCTGTCCCTATCAGCCCCTGGGTACCCATCCACGCTGTCCCATCCCATCCCTTATCAGCCCCTGGGTGCCATCCACTCCATCCCATCCCTTATCAGCCCCTGGGTACCATCCACTCCATCCCATCCCATCCCTTCCCATCCCCTGTCCTTCCTCCACTCCTAGAATCAAGCCAGGGGAAGAAAAGCCCTCAGACTCTTTATAGAGTTACAAGACATTATAGAATTGCACAGCACCAGGGGTCTGGATGAGGAAAAGTAAAAAAGATTTGATTTCTGTATATATTTCATTTCTTTTCCATGATAACCTGCACGCTCACTTACTTCCAGTTGGAAAAGGTCTCGGTAGCTTTGGGGACTCTACGCTGGCGTTGACGGGCTGGACTGAACCCCATATCTCAGGCTGATCTAGAGCAGCTGAAAAATCAATATAGAAATAAGCATCAACAAAACTATTTTCTTACAAATACACACAGATGAGATGCATTCATCTGAGGCTTGTAGAGAGGAAAATAAATAGTGACAGAATCCTCTCGTTAATTAAAGACAGGGGCTTTCCTATAACGTTAGGTAATTACAAGCTTGCCTGGTTCTCAGACAGGACACACAATTAGTTTGACACTCATGCTGCTTGACAAACAAAACAATGCCCCTTATGTGTTTGGAGGCTTATTACAGTGAGCGAAACATTGCATTAATTGCAAAAAAAAAAAAATGGTCTGGAATTTTAGGATGCACAGAAAAAAACACCAAAGCATTAAAATGAAAAGATCCACTTGTAGTCACAGAGGTTGTGGGGGAAAAAATCCCTCTTTTGTATCTCATTTAAATGTTTTGCACTTTTTTTTTTAGCCTATGTTTAGGGAATTGCACGCAAACATAGTTTTGATTAAAAGAATGAACCGGAGTCATTAATTATGAGCCATAATGAGGGTACAAGTGGCAGTGACCATGTCACCATAGCGGAGGGGAGCTGGGAGGAGGAGACCTCTCCAGGAACAAACCGCTCCAGTGGGTGAATGAGGTTTTTCTTTGGGGAGAACAAGCCCTGGGAGATCAATTCAGGAAAACTGGGAAACTTTTTATTTTTTCTCCAAAAGGCTTGAGGGGGAGCAAATGCCGTTTCTGGGGGAAAAAAAATGACATTATTGAGATGGCATCTTTACAGCAGAATCTTCTAGGTTGGAAGGGACCTCAAAGATCATCTTGTCCAACCATCAACCTAACTGACAAAAATAGACACTCGCACAACAAACAAGGAGCATCATCACTAAACCATACCTCCCAGCACTACATCAACCTGTCTTTTGAACACCTCCAGGGATGGTGCCTCAACCACCTCCCTGGGCAGCCCATTCCAATGGCTGAGAACCCTTTCAGTGAAAAATGTTTCCTAATATCCAGCCTGAACCTCCCCTGGTGTAACTTGAGGCCATTTCCTCTCGTCCTGTCGCCTGTGACTTGAGAGAAGAGACCAACCCCCACCTCTCTACAACATCTTCATGGACACGGGGAGCTGGAAAGCACTGAGGGACATATCTGTTCATATCAATTAAATTAGGGTGACGCTGAAATGCTGCCCTGGTGTTGGAAACTAATGATGGCTGCTGTTAGACACACACAGCTTCGGAGTCTGGTGAACAGGCATCACTGCCTTTCATTTGAAAGTCAGTATTTTTAATATTTGTTAAATATTAGTATTAATATCCTGCTTTCTTTCAGGATCTCTCTCAAGACCATGTAATTAACTGATTGGCTCAAACACTTGCTTTTTTTCCATATAACCCATATAACCCCCAACCTCACGCTGCCTGTAACGCAGCTCCACGTTCTGATTTAATTGGGTTTTTGCCCCTTCTTGAAGAGCAGGGTTGGTCACCAGGGGTTGGTCACCAGGGGTTGGTCACCAGGGGTTGGTCACCAGGGGTCCCCTGCTTGCTGGCCCCCCCCGTGAGCCATCCCCAGGGCCAGGGGACACTGTCAGGAGATGCCACCATCCCGTGTCCCCCCCAAACCCACCGTCCAACTTCTGCTCCTCAAATGCCGACTCCAGTGGGGGCCCAAAGAGCGGTGCCAGCGCGGCAGGGTCCTCCCCGGTCTTCTTGCTGCGGGATGAGACAAGGGCAGAGGAACACCCTGAGGTTTGGGTTTATACTCAAACCTGGTATTTCAGTACCAACCTGTGAATCTTCAGGGGGGTGTTTATGTCCTAAACTAAGTGCCACCTGGCAAAACACAGGGTTTCAGGCAGAGAAAAAGGGGAGGAAGGCATCGCACCAGGTGAAGCACTATGGTGCAAACCCTCTAGTGCCCAAGCAACCGGGGGTTGCTTCAGGATCTACACCAGACTGCATGGAAAAGGGGAAAAAAAAAGTCAGAATCTGGACCAATCTCAGGTCCAACACTCCTCAAGTCAAGCCCTGCTGCTGCACAGGGCTCGCTCTTAGCGAGATTTGTCTTTTCTCTGTATCTAGTAGTCCATCTGCTCTCCTAAATCAATAGATACCCACAGCAGACACTTGCCAGCTCTCCCTATCCACCAGGTTCGAGGTGGCTTCCAGCAGCGGGGTGTCCTCACCGCTCCTGTGGGACAGCAGGTATGGATGCTGTGTGTCCAGAACCAGGGGTTCTGCTGCCATCAGCACCTCCATCCTGCCTGTTCGTGTTTGGCCAGACTCAGGGGGGGTGTTCACCATCACCTCATTTCTTACTCACTCCAACAGCATCCAAGCAAAGCACCCATGGACCCCCAAGCCCCCCGTGCCCCTCACATCCCGCGCCACACAGCCTTTAATCAGCTTATTTAAACACCAAAACACAAACATTCGGCTGCCCCACGAGCCTAAAAAGTTATAAAAGTGATTTTTTCTGCAGCAACACCTTTGATGAGGCAGGTTTGGGCAGCTCAGCCGGGCGGTGGGCTGGCAATATTTGTACGGCAGTAAATACCCAGAGAATTCGCTGCGTTATTTTGGGTATGACATGAAAAAAAAGGTCAAAATCCGGAGCTGAAACCAGATGCTTCCCATAGAAGATGAATAGAATAGATGCTATTGCCCATAGAACTTTAAAAAAAAAAAATTAAAAAAAAAAAATTAAAAAATCACATCAGCATGATGTGGCTGTGTTAATTAATTATTCTGATGGAGTCTCTACTGACCTGGCAGGGTCTGGCGTCGGCGTGGAGCGCCGGGGCCGTGCGATCTCCTCACCTGCGGCACAGGATGGACAGTGTGGGGTTAGAGCTGTCCCCCCTTGTCCCCCGAGCATCCCCCCCAGCCCGTGTTGGCAGGAGGGCTCACACCACGCATGCCACCGGCACAGCACGTGTCCCACCCCACACCTGCCGCGGAGACACCGGCAAAAAAAGGTCTGTTTTATCAATTCAGATTTATTTCTGTGGAGAGCTGGACTGGGGAGCTGCACTGTTTCTACAGGGTACCCCAAGGATGTCCCATATGGGCATCTTCAAAGAAGACATTTGGGTACTATCATTTCTGGTCCAACCATTAGATGGTTGGACTCGATGATCCCAAGGGTCTCTTCCAACCTGAATGTTTCTTTGATTCTATGATTCTGCCAGGACCATTTTAAAGCAAAACTAACCCACCCCCTCAATCCCGAAGATACCCACCACCTCCCCCCTGCCATAACTTCTTGAAGGTTGTAGAAAATACTCACTGGATAAATTCCTTTTAATCGTCCCCTGGAATGAGAAACACACGAGGTAAGTGGGACACAGAGGGACAGGGGTGCATGGCAGTTGTCACCCGAGGAGGGACACAGCAGGAGCAAAGCAGCCCAGGAGTGGTGGCAGGAGTTGCCTGCTTTCAGGGGGTATTACTGCAGGTGGCTGAACCCCAACACAACCTGTGTGTTGTGAAATCCCCTCTGCTCCCAGCACAGAGGGAGCAGAAAAACCCTACTGAGATGGTTTTGAGCCACCTAAAGCCACCACCGGGCAGTGCTGCCTTCACAGCCACCCTGATGGCCGGTGGCTTATGGGGGACACTGACACCCTCCCCCCATTAGACTTGGCATAAACCCCAAATCCTCACGTCTGACGGCTGCAAATCAATCGAAGCCAAACGATGCATTTTTAGCAACGGAAATCCTCGCTCTGGCCACAAAACACACACGTGCCTGCACACAGCAAAAGCCAACCTCCCCCCAGCTACACGGGGAGCAGGGGTACCCCAGGACCACAAGCAGGGTCCCCAGGGATGAGGATGGAAGGATGCAGGTGGAGCCGTGGAGGATGGTCATCATCAGGGACACCTTTGCATCAGTTGACCCCTGCTTGCTGGCCCCCCCCGTGAGCCATCCCCAGGGCCAGGGGACACTGCCAGGAGATGCCACCACCCCGTGTCCCCCCCAAAACCCACCGTCCAACTTCTGCTCCTCAAATGCTGACTCCAGCGGGGGCCCGAAGAGCGGCGCCAGCGCGGCGGGGTCCTCCCCGGTCTTCTTGCTGCGGGATGAGACAAGGGCAGAGGAACACCCTGAGGTTTGGGTTTATACTCAAACCTGGTATTTCAGTACCAACGTGTGAATCTTCAGGGGGTGTTTATGTCCTAAACTAAGTGCCACCTGGCAAAACACAGGGTTTCAGGCAGAGAAAAAGGGGAGGAAGGCATCGCACCAGGTGAAGCACTATGGTGCAAACCCTCTAGTGCCCAAGCAACCGGGGGTTGCTTCAGGATCTACACCAGACTGCATGGAAAAGGGGAAAAAAAAAGTCAGAATCTGGACCAATCTCAGGTCCAACACTCCTCAAGTCAAGCCCTGCTGCTGCACAGGGCTCGCTCTTAGCGAGATTTGTCTTTTCTCTGTATCTAGTAGTCCATCTGCTCTCCTAAATCAATAGATACCCACAGCAGACACTTGCCAGCTCTCCCTATCCACCAGGTTCGAGGTGGCTTCCAGCAGCGGGGTGTCCTCACCGCTCCTGTGGGACAGCAGGTATGGATGCTGTGTGTCCAGAACCAGGGGTTCTGCTGCCATCAGCACCTCCATCCTGCCTGTTTGTGTTTGGCCAGACTCAGGGGGGGTGTTCACCATCACCTCATTTCTTACTCACTCCAACAGCATCCAAGCAAAGCACCCATGGACCCCCAAGCCCCCCGTGCCCCTCACATCCCGCGCCACACAGCCTTTAATCAGCTTATTTAAACACCAAAACACAAACATTCGGCTGCCCCACGAGCCTAAAAAGTTATAAAAGTGATTTTTTCTGCAGCAACACCTTTGATGAGGCAGGTTTGGGCAGCTCAGCCGGGCGGTGGGCTGGCAATATTTGTACGGCAGTAAATACCCAGAGAATTCGCTGCGTTATTTTGGGTATGACATGAAAAAAAAGGTCAAAATCCGGAGCTGAAACCAGATGCTTCCCATAAAAGATGAATAGAATAGATGCTATTGCCCATAGAACTTTAAAAAAAAAAAATTAAAAAAAAAAATTAAAAAATCACATCAGCATGATGTGGCTGTGTTAATTAATTATTCTGATGGAGTCTCTACTGACCTGGCAGGGTCTGGCGTTGGCGTGGAGCGCCGGGGCCGTGCGATCTCCTCACCTGCGGCACAGGATGGACAGTGTGGGGTTAGAGCTGTCCCCCCTTGTCCCCCGAGCATCCCCCCCAGCCCGTGTTGGCAGGAGGGCTCACACCACGCATGCCACCGGCACAGCACGTGTCCCACCCCACACCTGCCGCGGAGACACCGGCAAAAAAAGGTCTGTTTTATCAATTCAGATTTATTTCTGTGGAGAGCTGGACTGGGGAGCTGCACTGTTTCTACAGGGTACCCCAAGGATGTCCCATATGGGCATCTTCAAAGAAGACATTTGGGTACTATCATTTCTGGTCCAACCATTAGATGGTTGGACTCGATGATCCCGAGGGTCTCTTCCAACCTGAATGTTTCTTTGATTCTATGATTCTGCCAGGACCATTTTAAAGCAAAACTAACCCACCCCCTCAATCCCGAAGATACCCACCACCTCCCCCCTGCCATAACTTCTTGAAGGTTGTAGAAAATACTCACTGGATAAATTCCTTTTAATCGTCCCCTGGAATGAGAAACACACAAGGTAAGTGGGACGCAGAGGGACAGGGGTGCATGGCAGTTGTCACCCGAGGAGGGACACAGCAGGAGCAAAGCAGCCCAGGAGTGGTGGCAGGAGTTGCCTGCTTTCAGGGGGTATTACTGCAGGTGGCTGAACCCCAACACAACCTGTGTGTTGTGAAATCCCCTCTGCTCCCAGCACAGAGGGAGCAGAAAAACCCTACTGAGATGGTTTTGAGCCACCTAAAGCCACCACCGGGCAGTGCTGCCTTCCCAGCCACCCTGATGGCCGGTGGCTTATGGGGGACACTGACACCCTCCCCCCATTAGACTTGGCATAAACCCCAAATCCTCACGTCTGACGGCTGCAAATCAATCGAAGCCAAACGATGCATTTTTAGCAACGGAAATCCTCGCTCTGGCCACAAAACACACACGTGCCTGCACACAGCAAAAGCCAACCTCCCCCCAGCTACACGGGGAGCAGGGGTACCCCAGGACCACAAGCAGGGTCCCCAGGGATGAGGATGGAAGGATGCAGGTGGAGCCGTGGAGGATGGTCATCATCAGGGACACCTTTGCATCAGTTGAGAGAGGGGGGGGACAGGGTCCCACCATCACCTTGGGGTCACATAAGGGGGTGACTAATGGCACTGGCAGCCCAATCCCCTTCCTCTAAGCTCACCACGTTACCCCAGCAAAGACTCAGACCCCCACGAGCACCCCCAGATCTGGAGCAGGGGGGGGTAGAAGCAGGGGGTGCAGGTCCTTACCGGGCTGCGCCGCTGCGGTCAGCGAGAAGGAAGAGAGAAGAGACACCTGGTCAGAGAGGGACAGGTCAGCACCCCGGGTCCCCCAACACCCCTCGCACCCCTCCAGTGCCAGGGGGAGTGTGCCCTCCTCCACAGCCCCCAGCCCCACCACCAGGAGCCCCCCTTAAAACTGGTGGGTCCCCCTGGGCACAGAGCAGGGAGAGAGCAGTGTCTGGAGGGACCCCAAACCCCCCTGAAATGGGTGGATTTGCCCATTTTGGGCTCAAAACAGTCTAAAGCCCGGTTCTCACCATCGCATATGACAGTATGACATACCCTCTGATGGGTTTTTCTGCCTCCTCATACCTTTAAATGCACAATGATGTACCCAAAACGTGCCCAGATAAAACTGAGCCCTTACACGTCTTGGCCAAAACCACCAGCTCTTTCACCCAAACTACACCCCCAGACTACGTACATCCAAAGCAAAAGGCAGCCTATTTTAAAATGCTTGAAATCAAGGGAGAAGGAAAATAAGAAACATCGTGCCTTCCAAAACAGATTTGTTATTTGCATTTTACATTTCAGCTCTAGAAACATGCAGAACAGGGACCGTGCAAACAAGAGAACAGGAGACTGTGTTAAAAAATGGTAAGAGAGGAAAAAAAACACAACAGTATTTCTTACCGGACTTTTCCTCTAAAAGAACGCAGAAAAAAATAAAAGAAGAAAATGAGAATATAAGATATTTTCTATAAAGGGATAACAGAGAAATAAAAGATTTGTATTACGACCAGAAGCATCAGGTGTGTAACTGTTAAACACACAGCAAAGCGGAGTCGTGGGCGCATCCAGCCAGGCTGCCGTCCCTTCAGACAGGAGAGGGGAGTGAGAGAGAACACAGAAATATAAAACCTGCATCTCAGCCATCTCACAGAAAGGATTCACATGCTTTGTCCTTATCGGGCCCTGTTAGCTACAGAAAAGCTATCGAAAAAGGCCTTTTTCCAGCCTGCTTCATTTTTTTGGAAGATTTCACACAAGAGGAAAGTCAAAATCATGATTTTCTTTAATTTAAGGCTATTCCCCATTAGCTTTGCCCAGTGGCTATTTTTTCACACTGTTACAAATCTCCCCCTCCTGGGGCTGAGTTTTCATGGAACAAAGTGGGCAGGAGCTGCTGGTGGGATAGAGCAGGGAAGAGGGTGGAAGGTCGGGAGATGCTGGTCCAGTTCATGGCCAGAAAAAGGCCTTTTTCCAGCCTGGTTCATTTTTTTGGAAGAGTCCATATGAGAGGAAAGTCAAAAGCATGATTTTACCCCCAAGTGCTTTAATTTAAGGCTATTCCCCATTAGCTTTGCCCAGCGACTATTTTTTCACACTGTTACAAATCTCCCCCTCCTGGGGCTGAGTTTTCACGGAGCAAAGTGGGCAGGAGCTGCTGGTGGGATAGAGCAGGGAAGAGGGTGGAAGGTCGGGAGATGCTGGTCCAGTTCATGGCACCACCTGCATGTTTCTCCTCAAGAAACGAGACCTGAGCTACTGGGCTTCGGGCAGGGGGTGCAGCTGACACCAGTTTACACCAGTATCTCCAGATTTCTTCTTATCTTCAAGTTAAGCCACCATAACTTACACCTCAAAGGGATGGGGAGGACACTGCCTACAGACATGGCATCTCCCATCCTGCTGCTCTCATCCTGGAGAGGCTGGTGCACAGGAGGGATGGCTTTACAGCTGGTTTTGGAGAGGAGACGAGCCCAGGATAAGGCCATGGACCCTCCCATGGATGCAAAACTCCTTCAGACATCTCCTGCCCCGGGCACTGGTGCTTTCCTGGACACTGCCAGGACCTGGTGTGCTCGGCGGTGGCACCGCTCACCTCCCCATCTGCGCCCTTTGGCTCCCTACGCTGGAGTTTGGATGCCAACCTGGGGAAGCAGCACGGCTCCTTCTGTTCCTCCTGGCACAGGGCTTTTCCCTGAGCCCTTTGGGCTGAGCAGAGCATGTCTGCCCTGCTTCACAGGGAGGCACTGTCTCCAACCCTGGCTCTGCTCTGCCGGCGGTGGAAGCGGGGACAGGGATTTCCCCCCAAGGAAAGCACAGAGCATCCCAACCCAATGCCCAAATTGGATCCAGGATCCAGACACACACAGGGGCTAAATCCTTTCTAACCGATGACAAAACTCTCCCTGATCCCAGTGGGAAAAACATCACGGAGAAGAGGAGACACAGAATGGTTGGGGTTAGAAGGGACCTTGAAGATCATCCAGTCCCACCCCCTGCTCTGGGCAGGGACACCTCCCACCAGAGCAGGTTGCTTCAAGCCCCCTCCAACCTGCCCTTGAACCCCTCCAGGGATGGGGTTGTATCTAGAAAAATGCACATTTTGTGGGTTTCGTCTCTCTGGAAAAGGCAAGGTGCAGAAGAACTGCCAACCACATCAGCCTAATCTTCATATAGCAGCACAAAACTATTTCATCATATCTATTCTATCAACATCTATTTCCTCATAGACTTGTCAAGGTTGGAAGGGACTTTTCAGATCAAGTCCAACCATCAACCCAACACTGACAAAAACCATCAGTAAGAATAAAAATAATCATGGAACTTCGGACTGCTGGGAGCTGAGCGTAATCATTTGATAGTTTCCTGACAGATCTTTATTTATTGCTAGAGACAACACTGCTTTCTGGTTTTTGGCTAGATTCTCTGAGATGCCTACACCGCAGGCTGCACTACAGAACCAATGAGTGGCTACTCCTCATCTCTGCCACCAGCTGCACCCCGAGATGGGCGAGTGCCCTGTGGTGCCCAGAGGGACCTGCTGCCACCAGGGGATGCAGAAATAAAAGCCTCAATGGAAGGAGAATGCACCAAGTATAGGCCCCTTCAATAAATTCTTAATGCTTTCCCCACCCTATTTTTAGAAGGTTGCACTATTTCCTCTCTCCTCCCAAAATAATGTTGTTTTCTCCTCCATTACAGACATATATGTGAGCACCAAACTTTTGGGGCCATCACTTCGCAAGACCAAAATTAGCTTGGTTTTGCAATAAGAAATTCTGGGGTTTGTTTTTTCTTTCTTTCTTCTCTTGATCAAAATTATCCACCTATTTGGCAAATAATTGCCAGTCTCCAACACCCCCCCATCCTTTATTTGCTTAATTTTGGTGGGGTTTTTTTGTTGTTGATTTTTGGGGTGGCGTTTTCCCCTCTTTTTCCTTTTGTCTTTTTTTTCCTGGGGGGAACTTCCTGGTCACACCACAAAAAGCATCCAGAAGGGATCCAGAAGTGTTGCTAAAGGGACCAGGCATCGGGGGGAAAGCAGAGCCCTGAAGGAGGGACTCTGTATTTCCAAGGACAGTGACTTGTCACGGAATCTTTCATTAAAATTGGTGACATTGCATTGATTTGCCACAAAGAAATAAAACGCAGTAATTTTATTTCCTCTTCGCTTAGAGTTTGAGATTCATTCACACTCCAGATACAGTCTAATTATAAACCATAGAAAAGCTTCATCTCAAAAGACACTGTAGCCCACACTAAAGCCCACTGAAAGGCAAAAATCATATCTTTTCACGGCTGAACAGATTGGGATGAGACGACAGAAATCTTGACAAGCCTTAGGAATACCAGAGGGCGATGGTATTTATACCCGGAGGGCCTAAGGAGACAAGATCTTTCCTTCCAGAACCCCTGATTCATCCTCGGGGTGAGAAATGTCCCTCCAACATCCCCTAGCAGCGGTGTGAAAAACCCCACGGATACTTTCCCTGTCCTGGGAATCAGGGCAAGACCGGATGGGGTCGTACCTAGAAAAATGCACATTTTGTGGGTTTTGTCTTCCTAGAAAAGGCAAGGTGCAGAAGAACTGCCCACCACATCATCAGCCTAGTCTTCACATAGCAGCGCAAAACTATTTCATCATATCTATTCTATCAACATCTATTTCATCATAGAATTGTCAAGGTTGGAAGGGACTTTTCAGATCAAGTCCAACCATCAACCCAACACTGACAAAAACCATCAGTAAGAATAAAAATAATCATGGAACTTCGGACTGCTGGGAGCTGAGCGTAATCATTTGATAGTTTCCTGACAGATCTTTATTTATTGCTAGAGACAACACTGCTTTCTGGTTTTTGGCTAGATTCTCTGAGATGCCTACACCGCAGGCTGCACTACAGAACCAATGAGTGGCTACTCCTCATCTCTGCCACCAGCTGCACCCCGAGATGGGCGAGTGCCCTGTGGTGCCCAGAGGGACCTGCTGCCACCAGGGGATGCAGAAATAAAAGCCTCAATGGAAGGAGAATGCACCAAGTATAGGCCCCTTCAATAAATTCTTAATGCTTTCCCCACCCTATTTTTAGAAGGTTGCACTATTTCCTCTCTCCTCCCAAAATAATGTTGTTTTCTCCTCCATTACAGACATATATGTGAGCACCAAACTTTTGGGGCCATCACTTCGCAAGACCAAAATTAGCTTGGTTTTGCAATAAGAAATTCTGGGGTTTGTTTTTTCTTTCTTTCTTCTCTTGATCAAAATTATCCACCTATTTGGCAAATAATTGCCAGTCTCCAACACCCCCCCATCCTTTATTTGCTTAATTTTGGTGGGGTTTTTTTGTTGTTGATTTTTGGGGTGGCGTTTTCCCCTCTTTTTTCTTTTGTCTTTTTTTTTTCCTGGGGGGCTTCCCAAAGCAGCCGACTGCTGTTTCTAGCCCTCAAAGACTTGAAACTTCCTGGTCACACCACAAAAAGCATCCAGAAGGGATCCAGAAGTGTTGCTAAAGGGACCAGGCATCGGGGGGAAAGCAGAGCCCTGAAGGAGGGACTCTGTATTTCCAAGGACAGTGACTTGTCACGGAATCTTTCATTAAAATTGGTGACATTGCATTGATTTGCCACAAAGAAATAAAACGCAGTAATTTTATTTCCTCTTCGCTTAGAGTTTGAGATTCATTCACACTCCAGATACAGTCTAATTATAAACCATAGAAAAGCTTCATCTCAAAAGACACTGTAGCCCACACTAAAGCCCACTGAAAGGCAAAAATCATATCTTTTCACGGCTGAACAGATTGGGATGAGACGACAGAAATCTTGACAAGCCTTAGGAATACCAGAGGGCGATGGTATTTATACCCGGAGGGCCTAAGGAGACAAGATCTTTCCTTCCAGAACCCCTGATTCATCCTCGGGGTGAGAAATGTCCCTCCAACATCCCCTAGCAGCGGTGTGAAAAACCCCACGGATACTTTCCCTGTCCTGGGAATCAGGGCAAGACCCATCCAATTTATGTCTTGAATGACAGCCACATTGAAAAAATATGAGGAAAAAAAGGGAGAAAATAAGGAAATGATCCAAACTGCCTTGCTTTATGAGCAGGAAAGGGAATTTTTAAGACATTTTGAACTGGAAACGTCACCACAATATAGCTGAGACCTCCTTGCAGTCATGTTATTGCCTCTATATAGCCTAAACCCTCTAAATAAGGATACATATGCAAACATAGCCATTGGCACCTAAGGCAGAGCTCCCCTGCCCCCTCAACAACCCCCAAGGAGCATCACAGCTTTTGCAACCAGGGGAAGAGACAGAAACACTGAGGACTCACCACGGGGGATGGAGAAAGTGCAATGTTGCCTATGGACGCCTTCAGCTCGTCCACCGTCGCCGCGCTCTTCAGGATGTCTTTAGCCTGCAAAGGCTTGATCTTGATGTTGAACTTCTTGTGTGCCTCCTCTTCCTCTTCCGATTCGCTGGAGGAGTAGAAGTGCTTTCCTTTCAGAAACACCGAGGACTCACCACGGGGGATGGAGAAAGTGCAATGTTGCCTATGGACGCCTTCAGCTCGTCCACCGTCGCCGCGCTCTTCAGGATGTCTTTAGCCTGCAAAGGCTTGATCTTGATGTTGAACTTCTTGTGTGCCTCCTCTTCCTCTTCCGATTCGCTGGAGGAGTAGAAGTGCTTTCCTTTGGTAGGTAGAGCACAGTTAAAGAAGGTTTCCTTCTGCTGCCAGGGCAGAGCTTTGGCATCCAAAGGCTCAAACCTCCCTGAAAAGTGAGAATTAGGCGTTCCCAAAATGCTTATCCCAAACACCCCAGGGTGGGAGCAGTGTGTGGGGGCAAATCCTCCTGCTGTGCCCATCACTTCTTAGCTCCACCTAAACATGAGGAGGAACTTCTTTTCTTTGAGGGTGGCAGAGCCCTGGCAGAGGCTGCCCAGAGAGGTGGTGGAGTCTCCTTCTCTGGAGACATTCAAACCCCACCTGGACACATTCCTGTGCAACCTGCTGTTTATCCCAAATGCCCTAGGAAGGGAGCAGTGTGTGGGGGCAAATCCTCCTTCTGTGCCCATCACTTCTTAGCTCCATCTAAACATGAGGAGGAACTTCTTTTCTTTGAGGGTGGCAGAGCCCTGGCAGAGGCTGCCCAGAGAGGAGGTGGAGTCTCCTTCTCTGGAGACATTCAAACCCCACCTGGACACATTCCTGTGCAACCTGCTCTGGGTGGACCTGCTCTGGCAGGGGGGTGGAGGAGATGATCTCCAGAGGTCTCTTCCTCTGATTCTTCCCCATGGGGACCATTCTGGCCCATCTCTTGCAGAGTGCTAGCATTTCTCAGTGGCAGCAGAGGAAGAAATTCTGCTTTTCCACTGATGCTTCTCCTCCTCCAGCTGCAAGAAGGCAGCTGAAAACCTGCTGCCAGCCTCAGAAATAGGGCTTTGGCCATCAACATCTCCTCACCCCTTAGTGGGGCACAATTACAGGAGCTGCAAATTGGTCCTTGCTCATTTTACTGCCACACAGAGCATTTCTGCCCCAAAACAGCATCATCTGTGACAAAGCACTACACGCCAGCACCTGAAGATGAGGTGGGACATCAGGGTCTCCTTCATGGGGAGACTCCTACAGTCATTACCACTGGGATGTTCCTTGAGCTGCTCCCACCTCCTCTTCATTTCACAGCACCTAATCAAAGGCAATTAAAATCACCTTCTGCTCTACTGCCCCAGCTCACTCCCCCTGGGAGCCAGTGTTAGCTGTGGAGTGACAGCTCGAAAAGAAAATGTAAAGGGGGAAAATTGATGATGATGATGATAATAATAATTTAAAAAATAGCCAGTGGCCTGCCCATGAACCCCAGCTCATCTTACAGTCTGCAAACCGAGCAGCAAAGCCAACAATAAAGGATATAGCCTGGTTCCTCGGGTCGGATGCTGTATCCTTCCTCATCGAGCTCAGGTGAATTCTGAAGAGGGCACACAAAAAGGGGGAAAAAAAAACAACAAACAAACCCCAAAGGATTAGGAAGCAGATAGATTCTCCACAGGTAAGATTTCACAATGCTCAGTTTTTGCAGAGAATTTTCTGCCATGCTTGGTTGCAACCCAGGGTTTTCCTCTGGGTAACTGTGATGTCCTGCAGATATGGGCACCGCTCTCCTCACCTGCAGGGCATCAGGCATTAGAGTACAATGCTCAATTTTTGCAGAGAATTTTCTGCCATGTTTGGTTGCAACCCAGGGCTTTCTCTGGGTAACTGTGATGTCCTGCGGATATGGGCACTGCCCTCCTCACCTGCAGGGCATCAGGCATTAGAGCCACCCAGTTTCTGGGCAGATTTAGGCTATTTAATTAACATGCAGATACAAAAAACGAATCTGGACACAACTAACACCTGGACATCACCCAAAATGGCTATGGCCACCCAGAAAGCCAAGACGGTGGCATGGGAGATGGATAGAGGGAGGGGAGGCTCCAGTGGACACTTACGTATCTGTCCCAGTCGATCTCCGCATAAAATCCATTCGGGGCTCCGTTCGTCTTCTTCTGCAACACATTGGAAAAGAAAATTTCCAAGTTTTGAGTTAAGGAACCAAGAATACAGCGTACCTCCCATGTGTGCACTGGCACGGCTGGGACACATGGGCATCGCTGCTCTGCCCCTGTACACCAGCTTTTCCCACTTCTGGAAGGTCTTCCATAACAGATAGCTAAAAGAATATTTTATTTATTTTTTGAACTTTCATCAGCTGAACATATACCATATCTCAAGAAAGAGAAATTAAATGACCATTTCTCTGTGTGTTTCAGACCATGGGGAGGGGCTCCTGATGCTCACCAAGCACCCCTGTTTATCAGGAAATAAACACTTTCCACAGAAGACACTGGAAGAAGGGTTGGGTTTCTGTTATTCAGCAGCCGAATGGGCACAGAGCACACTGGTTTCAGTGGTGAGAGGGGTCTGGGCTGAGCCAGGTGGGATGTGGTGTTAGTGCACATCGTGACACACTGACAACACACACACAGGTTACTGCTGCTTCGGACAGAGGGGGAGGTGGTTTGGGAGGAGGCTTTGGGTATCCATCACCTGTGGGACCCTTTGCTGGTCTGCTCTGGGCATCCAAAAAAACTACCCAAAGCCAGGGACTGAAGTTAGGCTGGGTTCTCAATTTTGGGCACCTAAATTAGATAATAATCCAGTTCGTTTCAGCTGCCAGAGGTAGCACCCCCACCCCAGCATCCCGTCCAAGGGTCTAACACACCGTCCCAGGGGTGGCAGCAGCACAGGAGCTGGATGAGGCCACCAACTCCCTCATCCTCCCCATCTCATAGAATGGTTTGGATTGGAAGGGACCTTGAAGATCATCTCATTCCAACCCCCTGCCCTGGGCAGGGACACCTCCCACCAGATCAGGTTGCTCCAAGCCCCCTCCAACCTGCCCTTGGACTCCTCCAGGGATGGGGCAGCCACAGCTTCTCGGGGCAACATGGGCCAGGCTCTCACCACTGGATGGTTTCACCCAATGGTCCTCCCAATGCTGCCCGAGGACAGAGCAGCCTCATTAAAAACAGAAGGGTGAAAAAAACCCCAAACAACCAACTCTGGATGCAGTTACATGGGGCTTCTGCTTCCCCCCAGTCCACCTGTACTCACCCCCATCTCCATTCAACTCATATCCATCCACCTGACTGAATTTAATTGGGGTTTTCCTATATTCTGTATCTCAAACCGAAAAAAAAATGACTCATTCTTTTTAAGCACCCTCTCATAGCTGTACACCGAGCTCCACTGTTTTCCTTACCGAATTTTTTTTTCCTCCTTCACGCCCACTCTCGGGTTTGCTATTGCAAGGTGGCTCAGTGGGATGAGGGCTGGGCGGCTGGAAGGGATTGGGGTTTGGCAGAAAAAGGGTTAAAGTGTCGGGTGGGTTTTAATTTTTAAATTTTTTTAATTTTTTTTTTTTTTTAAAAAAACACACAAACCTCCCACCAGATCAGGTTGCTCCAAGCCCCCTCCAACCTGCCCTTGGACTCCTCCAGGGATGGGGCAGCCACAGCTTCTCGGGGCAACATGGGCCAGGCTCTCACCACTGGATGGTTTCACCCAATGGTCCTCCCAATGCTGCCCGAGGACAGAGCAGCCTCATTAAAAACAGAAGGGTGAAAAAAAAACCCAAACAACCGACTCTGGACGCAGTTATGTGGGGCTTCTGCTTCCCCCCCAGTCCATCTGTACTCACCCCCATCTCCATTCAACTCATATCCATCCACCTGACTGAACTTCAATGGGGTTTTCCTATATTCTGTATCTCAAACCGAAGGATGGGGCAACCACAGCTTCTCGGGGCAACATGGGCCAGGCTCTCACCACTGGATGGTTTCACCCAATGGTCCTCCCAATGCTGCCCGAGGACAGAGCAGCCTCATTAAAAACAGAAGGGTGAAAAAAACCCCAAACAACCAACTCTGGATGCAGTTACATGGGGCTTCTGCTTCCCCCCAGTCCACCTGTACTCACCCCCATCTCCATTCAACTCATATCCATCCACCTGACTGAATTTAATTGGGGTTTTCCTATATTCTGTATCTCAAACCGAAAAAAAAATGACTCATTCTTTTTAAGCACCCTCTCATAGCTGTACACCGAGCTCCACTGTTTTCCTTACCGAATTTTTTTTTCCTCCTTCACGCCCACTCTCGGGTTTGCTATTGCAAGGTGGCTCAGTGGGATGAGGGCTGGGCGGCTGGAAGGGATTGGGGTTTGGCAGAAAAAGGGTTAAAGTGTCGGGTGGGTTTTAATTTTTAAATTTTTTTAATTTTTTTTTTTTTTTAAAAAAACACACAAAAATAAGTTAAGAGGAATTAGCAAACACACCACACAGTTTTATAAGGAAAGGAGGGCTCAGCTGTGGCTCCACCAGGAGCAAGCGTGGTTTTCCCTGGGGGCAGGGAACGGGGCTCTATTCAGCAGTCAGAGGAGCTGCCACCCCATCTCCTGCTGCAAATATTACAGTGAGAACACGTTGCAGGAGGAAGGGATATACTCAAGGTCTCCATCCTCCAATTCCCCTGCCTCCAATATGTTCAGTGGCTTCATTATACCCCACCACCACCAAAAAAACCCCAAAATTGCATTTCTGCATCCTTCAGCTTGCTGGAGACCCTGTCCTGCCCTGCACCGAGCCTGAGCAGCAAACCACCTGGAAAACCAAGAGGAGCACAACTGGGAGGGCACCTGAGCTCACCCAAGGTCCCTGTGCCCATGCCTGGCAAGAAAAAGCACTTCTGCCAGTGGAGGGAATGCCTCCAGGCTCCTCCTTATATTTTATTTATTTATTACTGCTGAATAGAGCCTTGGTTAAAGCGCTACCTGAGCTGCAGGCTCTTTTCTTTTAATTGCTATTTCTTAACAACTGGCTTACAAACACAGGGTGAGCCCAAAGCCAAGGATCTTGGGTCAGATGTGGAGGGGAAAAATAAAAAAAAATTTAAAAAAAAAGAGCAATCTCTCTAAAGGAGCAATTTGGCACCTCGATTTTCATATGGCTTTGTAAAAGGCACCCCAGCAGTGCTCTCCCTGCTGAGTCTTCCAGGGGCTCTCATTTTTTATTTTAAGATGAGCTTCTAACGCCCGAGTTTGCTCAAGAAATATTGACCAGCACAGCCCCAGTCTGAACCCAACATACTCATTTGCAAAATTGAAATTAAACTTCTCAAGGAGATGTGGTCCCTCTACCACGCAGATCTAGCGGGGGCATTTCTGCTTAACACCACAAAGAAAAGCAGCAATAATTCATAAAATGAGTATGTCCTCATTTTCAGTTTCATAAAGAAAATAGAAACAGGCATTGGAAACAGCTGTTCTGGCAATTTTCCCTAAACCCATCGCACAGCCAATCTGACCCAAGCCAATTAGCAGGAGCAGAAACGAGGATGTGGAGCTGGGGTTTTAGCAGGACACCTGGTCCCTCTGCCCACGGCGCTCGTCAGGTGTTTGTAAGTTGGTATTTTTCTCTGTGTTAATTTGGTAGAAAACCTGGAATGTGCCATTATTTTAAATCTCAGTAAGAAGCTGCCTGTTTATTTTCTCTATGAAACAGAAAGGAAGGGACGGGTCACAAAGTGCTGATGGAGGCTGATGAAGAAATTCACATTTCAGGGGCCACGGCAGGAGAGAGAAGAGGGACCAGGGTCCATGCAATACTTACGATGCCATCCCTGTCCGGGGACCCCCTGCAAAGGAAGGAAAGCAGCCTCGTTAGCTCCCAAACTCCTTACTGCTTCTCTAATTAACCGTGGAAATGGTTTTCTTAACAAATCCGCAGCAGCAACGGGTTGAATTATGAAATTGTCAGCAAATCTGAATTACCTGCCACGTGCTCCTTATGAAACCCACCCGAGGGTCTCGGTGCCTTGTGTTATCAGACACCAGATTTTATTAGTAAATAAAATGTTCCTGATGATGATGCTTTCCCAGCCAAGGAGGAAGGTGGCACCCATCCCACCGCCCTGCCCTGGTTGCGCATCCTCTTGCGGAAGACAATAAAAATTCCATTTAAAGATATATATTTTTTTTTTCCCCTTCCACCAGAAGCACAGTCACTTCTCTTTTGAAGGGATTTGAAAATTGATGAGACACCTCAGGGATCCTAATCCCCAGCCGCTTATGGGATTTGGACCTTGGTGACAGCAAGCGGCGTGGCCGGCTCGGCTTGAAACGCTGTCTAAGGATGCTGAGTTATTTAGCGAAAAGACAAATATGTTTATGAAAAAACAGACGGGCTCCTCCACCTCCCACACGCTCCCGAGTTTCATGCGTTGCCAGAGATCTGCCACAAATTAATGTCTGACTCAGGGCATCGTCGAAAGCCTGCGGGGAGCTGCTGCCCGTCCAGCTCTGCTTTAACAGAGTAACACCTTTGGATTTCCCTAATTCATACGTGTCTGTCTCCCACCTCTCCCACCTCGTGTTTAATCTCTTCACACAAAATTATCCAAATTTTTTTTTGGATGTAGCAAAGATCCCCTCTGCATCCATATTTCATAGAATTATACAAAAGTTTGGGTTGGAAGGGACCTTAATGCCCCCCCAGTGCCACCCCCTGCCCTGGGCAGGGACACCTCCCACCACACCAGGTTGCTCCAAGCCCCCTCCAACCTGCCCTTGAACCCCTCCAGGGATGGGGCAGCCACAGCTTCTCGGGGCAACCTGGGCCAGGCTCTCACCACCCTCCCACCAAACAAGTTCTTCCCCACAGCTCAGCTCCATCTCCCCTCTTTCAGGGTCCAACCCTTCCCCCTCCTCCTAGGGCTCCCCTCCCTCATCCAGAGTCCCTCCCCAGCGTCCCTGGAGCCCCCCTTCTTTAGGGACTGGAAGGGGCTGGAAGGTCTCCCTGGAGCCTTCTCTTCTCCAGGCTGAACCCCCCCAACTCTCTCAGCGCCCCCTCCCAGCAGAGGGGCTCCAGCCCTCCCAGCATCTCTGGGGCCTCCTCTGGCCCCATCCAACAGCTCCATGTCCTTCTGATAGTGGTGGCCCCAAAGCTGGAGGCAGCACTGGGTGGGGGGCTCTACCCAAGGTGGAGCAGAGGGGCAGAATTTCCTTCCGTGCAGGGAATGTCACCTCCTGCTCATCTCCCTTCCCTTCCATGCAGGGAATGTCACCTCCTGCTCATCTCCCCGAAGCCCAGCCAGAAGCGGCTGTGGAGACCCTCAGCCGGTGGAGGGAGGGGTAGCAGGTCCTTCACCACCACGCTGCAGCCCCAGCACATCCAGCATCTCCCTGCCAGCAGCTCCAGAGACCCCACATCATAGTGCTCACCACCCAGGCCATGGTGGCCCAGCCATAGCAGGGGGTGACCAAAGGTTCTTGTCTGACCCATCACCCCTCACCGGCTGCCCATGGGGCATTTGGAGAACACTCAAAGCCATTCAGAGCAATGATCACTATGCAACCCCACGATGACGTGTTAATCACTTCTGCTTGTTAATTGCAGCAAGCCTTTCCCCACAGCAGCCTTTCCTCAAGCTTGCTACCACCACAAATGCCCCAGGATTCATTATCTCCGTGTCTCACCAGCTTCCCCAACCTCTAGAAAGAGCAGGCTTCTCCAAGCACACATGGAAATCACGGTGGTGGCTAAAGGCAGGACCTAGACCTGGTTCCATTGATTTTCCCCACGAGCAGAAGACACCAAGCAACCTGTTCCCTGCCCGTCCGTCTGACCAATTATAAATTAAACCATACACAGCTGGAGCAGGAGCTCCTGGCTGTCCCACAGCCTGCCCTGGCTGGTGGATGGACAGCCACCATTCCTGGTGACAAGGCCACAAATGCCCCAGGATTCATTATCTCCGTGTCTCACCAGCTTCCCCAACCTCTAGAAAGAGCAGGCTTCTCCAAGCACACATGGAAATCACGGTGGTGGCTAAAGGCAGGACCTAGACCTGGTTCCATTGATTTTCCCCACGAGCAGAAGACACCAAGCAACCTGTTCCCTGCCCGTCCGTCTGACCAATTATAAATTAAACCATACACAGCTGGAGCAGGAGCTCCTGGCTGTCCCACAGCCTGCCCTGGCTGGTGGATGGACAGCCACCATTCCTGGTGACAAGGACAGCGGGACAACAGCTTGATGCTGCACAGCCCTTTTTGTCCCCTCTGCCAGGAGGACAACAGCTTGATGCTGCACAGCCCTTTTGGGACATGCTCCATGTCCCCCCATATTTCTGGGGCCCCTTTTGCAGCAGGCAAAGCCCAGCAGGGGCTGTCCCTTTGCATGGGAAACCTCACCCACTGCTGCTGAGATCCCATATTTCTGGGGCCCCTTTTGCAGTGGGCAAAGCCCAGCAGGGGCTGTCCCTTCGCATGGGAAACCTCACCCACTGCTGCTGAGATGTGAAACAGCTCAGGAAAACAAATTAAAAAATAAATAAAAAGATGGAAAAAACCCATAGGGTTTCTGCCATGCCAGACACTGAGCACCTGGGGGATGCTGTGCATGAGTGGGGCTCCCTGCTGCCTTTCCCCTGCTCTATCCCCAACACATGGGCTGCACAGCCTCCTCTGACACACAGTTTTGGGACATTTACCCCAAAAACTACATCAGCAGCAATAGAGATCCCTCCCAAGGCTGGGCTCAGCGCCCCACCAGTGGTTCTATACCCATGGACAGCATCCCCCTGCCAGCTGTGGAGGAAAACTCCCCGCCAGATGTTTTCCCAGGAAGCCAAAGCATCTCCAGGAGCAAAACCAAAGCAGAACATGATCCATCAGCCCCATCCCGAGCCTCCCCCAACCTTCGCTCCACTGCGGCCTCGCTGCCTGCACAGGCATCTGCTTAAACGGAATTTGCATCTAAAAAGATCTCAGCAGACGGGCAGATCAGTAGCTCGGGCAGAGATTAATCTGCGGAAACTCTCCGAGGAGTCATTTTCTTCTGATCACCGCTAACTGTCACCGTAAATTGCAACCACGTGGGCTTCATCATCCCTGCAAGCACCACCCAGAAAATACCTTATTTGTTGGCCACCGGCTGTACACGGGGAAACGGCTTAAATGTATTTGTTATTACAAGGCTTGATCCAAGGATGACAAACGCCTGTGATGAGCCGACTTCCTTCCTGCCCTGGCACGCCGGCACCAACTGCTCCCCAGCATCATTATATATTGATGTGGTTCACAGCTCATCGACTTACGTGGAATCAGTATCCTTTTCTTTCTTGCGTATACCAAAGGCCTTCCTTGTACGTTTTTTCAATCCTGTGGACAGAAGGAACACAGACAAGAACGCAGGATTAATGTTACGCCTCAAAGAAATCCTGCCAGAGGTTCCTTATTCCCCTGTCACAATTCATAAATCGTAATTCATAAATCAGGTTAAAAAAAGAAAGACCCAAACCCAAGAAACTGCCAGCAGGACTCTGCAGGTAGCATGTACGTTTCCTTGTGCCTTTTATTTGTTCACTTAACACTTATTAACTTGATCTCAGCACGCGTGACTCCGTATTTCACAGTCTATATTTCTAAGCTCACTGTTTTAATTATACACTCCTTTGCCGTGCCCCATGTGGGCACTAATGGACAGTGGGGAAACCCTTCTTTAGTGTTAAAAACAAACAGTTTAAACCACAAAGCTGGTTATCTTTTGTTGGGATTCTTGATCTGCACAGTGCTTAAAACCATGCCTGGTACCAACGATGCTGGAGGTGGCCAGGAAGCTCAGGGAGCCCCACAAGCCATGAACCCCACCAGGGCAGTGGCCACCATCACACCACTTCTGAAAGAGATGGAGGAGAGAGGGTTTCTGTGAGTTTCTCACTCTCTTCCAGTCTAAGGGCCATCCAGGTGAGGGTTTTTTTTTCAATAACCACTTCCCTCCTCTGCCCAAAGCAAGCAATACGTGGTCAGGGATGAAGGAATCCCTTATGGGATCCCACAGATGCCCAGCCTATAGGATCCATACGTCCCCAGCTGCTCAGGGCAGCACACGCAGCCGGGAGTGATGCTGAACCCTCATCCTACAAACCCTGACGTGGACAACTTTGTTGTTACTACGTCTTGCCTTCCAGCTTTCCCACAATGTCTTCGAGGCTCCAGCGAGTTATTAATAACCAAGGAAGATTTCCATTGATCTCACCCCCTAGAATAACTTTAATATCAAAGCAGAACGGGGAGGGCTGAAAAACCCCAGAAACAAGTTCTTGTTTAGTCTTCTCTGAAGAAGCACCCGATTTGGCTAAATTTTGCGAGGAAGCCTTCTGCTCAGTTATATAATAGGCCCACCATCTGCTTAAAATGGTAACGACCGAGGGGGAAAAAGGGATATTAAGGAAAGACAGAATAGAAATGAAAGCCTCCTTTGGAGACAGTTATCAAGAGATGGTGGAAGCGGGTCCCCTGCTAAACCCCACCACCCAAGTCGGGGTGCCTGCCCCCCGACGGTGACACCAGAGAGGTCCATGGTTTGATGGGGGACAACATGATGGTTTTCCAGGACAGCTCTGCTCTCAGGTGTCTGCAGCTCAGAGCAGCTCATTTCACCCTTGACGTGATCAAGCACAGCCCAGAGAGCTGTTAAAAGTACCCTATCGGTGGTGGGGGGGGCAGAGCTGAGGGTTGTGGATGAAAGGGGACCGCACGCTCTGGTCCTCAAGTCTCCTTTCAGTCAGTTTTAGGAGCTGAAGTGCCACAAAACCAGTCCTGGCAAGAGTCAGCTTTATAAAAAATAATAAGAAGGAGAACTTTGTCCACAGAGGGAATGCTACACGGGAACATCATGGGTTCAGGGGAACCTCACGGGACAAGACAGATTTACAGCTAGAAGAGAAAAGGTGACAGTAAGTGGAAGAGAAAGCAGAGAAGAGGCAGTGAAGTGGCACAAAGATGGGTATGAAAGGAGAAAATAGAGCATATCCATGTGGGGCATCAAGGGATGGCTCAGAGCAGGGAGGAGCTGAAACCACCGCTCAGGTGATGCTCTCTAAAGCAGCAGCTAACATGGAAATCAAATCCCACCTCACTCCATCAAGGAGCACTGCTGGGTCCTGATCCAAACCACTCTCCAGTGGGAAGACTTCAGCAGTGGTTCAGTTTGTGCTCTTTGAAGGGGCACAGTAACACCAGGAAGAGCTCCCACCTCATCAGGCATGAACTGGAGGAAACACCAGCAACAGCAGCACTGAACACCACACCAGGTGTCCTGCTCAAGGGCCAGCAGGGCTTTGAGATTAGACCCAGATATTTGAGGACAGATATATTTGACACCTCTGCTCTCTCCTTCAGTGGCTTTTCCTCAATGAGCCTCACGCACAACAGCCCGGAATCATTTGTTTGCTATTACTTCTGAAGCAAGAACACCTAAAATCACATCAACGGCTCCAAGACCAGCTTCGTCCATGGAGGCCAAACACGGGCAAAGCCACCAGTCCCTCCAAGGTCCAACTTCACGTGCTGCAATTAGTCCTCAAGCCAAATGGCTTCGAACGTTATTACTCGAAGACTCAAAGTAACCACAAACCAAGGCTGAACTAAGCGTTGTGTGCCAGGGATCCCAGTTCAAATACAAAGAGCTCTCTGAACTGGGGAGCATTAGTCACCTCTTATTTACTATTATCCTTTTTTTTCTCCTCAATATACTAAAGAATTGGCATCTGAGAAATGTGAATTAATATTTAATGCTATGGTTCTTTCTGAACTGTCGTCTTAAAAATTACCAACATCTCATTTTCTACACTATTTTTCTTTCTAGAAGAAAAATAACCCTGTTCTCCCAATCCCAGTCCCTCGCCCTCCATCCCCAGGTGGTGGGAGCAGCTCCTGCTCCTGGACCCCCAAATACCAAGGGTGAGGGGGGCCCTGGAGGAAGAGCTGCTCGCTCGGGAGGATGGGCCTCGTGGAAGCAACAAACCTCTCCAACAGGAGAGATGTCAGTGAAAAAAAAATCTTTGTTTTAAATGTGCTTTTGTGATGACTAAAGAAGAAGAAAAAGAAAAGAAGATTGAAATTAGTTCTACTTGGTCTGTGCATGAAGATAAACGTTATCTATTGCCGTGCCAGAGACTCAAGACCAAAGCACTTGTGGGGTGCCTGCCCTCCCCAGTGACACCAGAGAGGTTCATGGTTCGGTGGGGGACAACATGATGGTTTTCCAGGACAGCGGGGTGCCTGCCCCCCGACGGTGACACCAGAGAGGTCCATGGTTTGATGGGGGACAACATGATGGTTTTCCAGGACAGCTCTGCTCTCAGGTGTCTGCAGCTCAGAGCAGCTCATTTCACCCTTGACGTGATCAAGCACAGCCCAGAGAGCTGTTGAAAGTACCCCATCGGTGGTGGTGGGGGCAGAGCTGAGGGTTGTGCACGAAAGGGGACCGCACGCTCTGGTCCTCAAGTCTCCTTTCAGTCAGTTTTAGGAGCTGAAGTGCCACAAAACCAGTCCTGGCAAGAGTCAGCTTTATAAAAAATAATAAGAAGGAGAACTTTGTCCACAGAGGGAATGCTACACGGGAACATCATGGGTTCAGGGGAACCTCACGGGACAAGACAGATTTACAGCTAGAAGAGAAAAGGTGACAGTAAGTGGAAGAGAAAGCAGAGAAGAGGCAGTGAAGTGGCACAAAGATGGGTATGAAAGGAGAAAATAGAGCATATCCATGTGGGGCATCAAGGGATGGCTCAGAGCAGGGAGGAGCTGAAACCACCGCTCAGGTGATGCTCTCTAAAGCAGCAGCTAACATGGAAATCAAATCCCACCTCACTCCATCAAGGAACACTGCTGGGTACCTGATCCAAACCACTCTCTGGTGGGAAGACTTCAGCAGTGGTTCAGTTTGTGCTCTTTGAAGGGGCACAGTAACACCAGGAAGAGCTCCCCGCACATCAGGCATGAACTGGAGGAAACACCAGCAACAGCAGCACTGAACACCACACCAGGTGTCCTGCTCAAGGGCCAGCAGGACGTCCTTTGAGATTAGACCCAGATATTTGAAGACAGATGCATTTGACACCTCTGCTCTCTCCTTCAGTGGCTTTTCCTCAATGAGCCTCACACACAACAGCCCGGAGTCATTTGTTTGCTATTACTTCTGAAGCAAGAACACCTAAAATCACATCAACGGCTCCAAGACCAGCTTCGTCCATGGAGGCCAAACACGGGCAAAGCCACCAGTCCCTCCAAGGTCCAACTTCACGTGCTGCAATTAGTCCTCAAGCCAAATGGCTTCGGTGCTCTTTGAAGGGGCACAGTAACACCAGGAAGAGCTCCCACCTCATCAGGCATGAACTGGAGGAAACACCAGCAACAGCAGCACTGAACACCACACCAGGTGTCCTGCTCAAGGGCCAGCAGGGCTTTGAGATTAGACCCAGATATTTGAGGACAGATATATTTGACACCTCTGCTCTCTCCTTCAGTGGCTTTTCCTCAATGAGCCTCACGCACAACAGCCCGGAATCATTTGTTTGCTATTACTTCTGAAGCAAGAACACCTAAAATCACATCAACGGCTCCAAGACCAGCTTCGTCCATGGAGGCCAAACACGGGCAAAGCCACCAGTCCCTCCAAGGTCCAACTTCACGTGCTGCAATTAGTCCTCAAGCCAAATGGCTTCGAACGTTATTACTCGAAGACTCAAAGTAACCACAAACCAAGGCTGAACTAAGCGTTGTGTGCCAGGGATCCCAGTTCAAATACAAAGAGCTCTCTGAACTGGGGAGCATTAGTCACCTCTTATTTACTATTATCCTTTTTTTTCTCCTCAATATACTAAAGAATTGGCATCTGAGAAATGTGAATTAGTATTTCATGCTATGGATCTTTCTGAACTGTCATCTTAAAAATTACCAACATCTCATTTTCTACATATTTAATGCTATGGTTCTTTCTGAACTGTCGTCTTAAAAATTACCAACATCTCATTTTCTACACTATTTTTCTTTCTAGAAGAAAAATAACCCTGTTCTCCCAATCCCAGTCCCTCGCCCTCCATCCCCAGGTGGTGGGAGCAGCTCCTGCTCCTGGACCCCCAAATACCAAGGGTGAGGGGGGCCCTGGAGGAAGAGCTGCTCGCTCGGGAGGATGGGCCTCGTGGAAGCAACAAACCTCTCCAACAGGAGAGATGTCAGTGAAAAAAAAAAATATCTTTGTTTTAAATGTGCTTTTGTGATGACCGGGAGGATGGGCCTCGTGGAAGCAACAAACCTCTCCAACAGGAGAGATGTCAGTGAAAAAAAAATCTTTGTTTTAAATGTGCTTTTGTGAT